TTAAGGAGCGGCTGAAGAAGGCTTTTGGAGGAGGTAGGTGGACACCGGAAGAGGACATATTCCAAATGTTTAGGGAGCGGCGGGCCCAACGACAGTCAAGGGGGCAATATGCGGGAGTACTCGTGGCGAAGTACAATCGCATAACCGAGAAGATGCGGGAAACAATGAGCGTGGGAGAGGTCGAAGCCAGGATGGAGTTTCTGTCGACAATATTGAAAGTCCAGCTGGCTAAAGAAACGGGGAAGAGGGACGGACTGCCCAGAGAGCGATCGTTCCTCGAATGCGCCCAGGAGATGATCGACCTAAGTGCCAGAGAGGAGGAGACACGGATGGATGTGGAAGAACCGGGTTGGACCCGGGTGACGGATAGACGACCATGGACAGCCCCGACAGGTTGGAAGAAGAGGGACACCAGGCAGCCGAGTGGAGAAAAAGCCCCGACGAGGGAAAGAAGATCGGGACAGTCGTCGAGGCCGAGGAATGGGCCCCGGAGGGAAGAGAGAAAATGTCACGGGTGTGGGAAGCCGGGACATTTAGTAGCGCAATGTCCGCGCACCAGATGCTTCGAGTGCGGGACGGAAGGGCACATAGCAAGGCAGTGCCCATACATATTTCACAGGAGGGAGAGACCTCAGGACGAACCCATGGAGGTGAATGTGCAGAGGATGAAAGACGAGCCAGGGTACATCAGCGGGACGGATCTTCGGAGGAGGCAACCGAGGAGTCAGGAGCGTCGGGAACGGAGACGGACGAACCAGGCAGCAGCGGAGGTGAAGGAGGTAGGCGCAGCCAACGGAGTGAGCAGCGACGAGCGGCGGCAGAAAGGAGGAAGCGGGACGACATCTGAGGAGTGTGTCGGCAGAGAGGCGACCGCACAGCAATATGCAACAACATCCGAGGTAAGCCATGCTGGTTGCCAATTATCGAAGTAGACGGGGGAGTAAAGTGTCTTGTGGACACGGGTAGCTCGAGCACTATTATGACTCGAAGGGCGTTAGGAAAAGGGTGCGGGAGCGAGAGGGTACTCCGGATACAGAAATGTGACTGCCAGCTGATCACTCTGGGTGGTCCCTGTAGTGTAGAGGGTGAGGCGACAATTGGGCTTGATCGGTGGACAGGGAAAGAGGGTGAGCTAACGGTGCATGTGGTAGAGAACATGACTCGGGAATACCAAGTCATAGTAGGGTGCGATTTGTTAGGTCAGGTAGGGGCGAGCATTAGAAACCGTAGAGGAGTCTGGAGCGTTAGGTTAGGAAAGAGGAAGTTCGGATGTATAGGGGTCGCGAGAGAAAGAAGGGTGCGGATAGGAGCGGTGGACAGAGTGGAGGACTGGAGGAAGTTGCTACAAGAGGAGTTTAGGGATATCTTCTTCAGGGAAGGTGAGGTATTAGGAGTAACAGGGAGGACGGTGCACGAAATCCCACTGAAACAGGAGAGGGTAACTTACGTGAAAGAGAGAAGATACCCGCAGGCGTTGAGACAGCATATTCGGGAGGAGCTAGATAGTCTAAAAGAACAGGGAATCATAGTTGATAGCACCTCACCATTCAATAGTCCCCTGTGGGCGGTGAAAAAGAAGGCAGCGCCGGGGGATAATAAGGAAAAATACAGGGTGGTAGTAGACTATCGTAAATTGAACGATAACACGGTAGACGAGAAGTACCCGATCCCGAGATTCGAGGATATACTCGATAGGTTGAGTGGGGCCGTGGTCTTTAGCACGCTGGACCTCAAGGCGGGATACCACCAAATACGGATGCACCCGGAAGACCAACACAAAACAGCGTTCACATTTGAAAGGGGGCATTATGAATTCACCAGGATGCCGTTTGGTCTGAAGAATGCGCCCATAACGTTTCAGCGTCTGATGGACGAATTTTTGAGGGGCATCGATGACTCGGTATGCCAGGTATACATGGATGACCTGCTGATTTTTAGCAGAACGGAAACCGAGCACGTGGAGCATCTGAGGGCAGTATTCGAAAGGCTCCGGCAATTCGGGCTGAAATTGTCAAGCGAGAAGTCTCTGCTGGGACAAACGCGGATCAATTTTTTAGGCCACACTATCTCTAGCGAGGGGGTCAGACCGGATGCGGCAAAGGTGGAAGCAATCACGCGGATGGCGGTACCACGGGACGTCAAGGGGATTCGTAGGCTTCTCGGGACGCTGAATTATTACCGGAGATTCGTACCCGAGATGGCAGAGTATTTGGTACCCATTAACAATTTGTTGAAGAAAGGCGCGAAGATTGTGGTGACACCAGAGATGGAGAATAACATTCGAAAATGTATGAATAGGTTGCTGACGGAGCCGGTGTTAGCGTTTCCGGATTTCGAGAAGCTTTTTAATATAACCACTGATGCGAGTGAATACGCGCTAGGGGCCGTTTTGTCCCAGGGGGGGAGTGAGGGTGAACGACCGATAGCATACGCGAGCCGTCGGCTTACGGGTGCGGAATCAAGGTACAGCGCTTTGGAGAGGGAGCTACTCGCGATAGTATGGGCTATCGACCATTTCAGGCCATACGTATTCGGGAGAAAATTTCGAGTCCATACCGACCACAAACCCCTCCAGTGGGTAGGAAAACTCAAGGAAACCTCAGCTAGGGTCACAAGATGGAAGGAGATCCTAAGCCAATACAACATAGAGGTGGTGTATAAGCCGGGAAAGGAAAACGTGGTGGCAGACTGGCTCTCGAGGGCCATCATGATCAACGCGGTTGAAGAGGACAGGGGAGGACCATCGCAGGACGTGCGCCAATTCTTGAGGGAATGGACTCCCGATGGCGAAGGGGCAAATGACACCGCAGGGATTGAGGACAGGGGAGATTCCCCAGAAGAGGAGAGCTCAGCGGAGGAAAGGGCAGCGGAGATGGAAGAAATAGAGGAGATCGTGAACGACAAACACCGTCAGGTGATTTGGAAGACACGAACAACCGGAATCATGAAGATCGATTTCAGAAGGTACGGGAGAAGTAGGATCCGCGTCATTTGGTCGCAGCCCGGGGTCAGCGAAGAACAAATCTGTACGGCACTGAGGGATGCCTCGGAAGCGGGTAAAACGCACTACCTATACGTAGGAAACAATACGGTATGGGATAAGATCAAGCGAATGTGGAGGTCCGAGCGAATAGGCGTGGACAGGACATTCATCCGGTGTAAGTATGCTGTGGAGACGGTACAGGACGAAGAGCAGCAGCAAGCAATCACAGTAGCATATCACCAGGGGAAAACCAATCACCGAGGCGTTAATGAGACGCTGCAGGCATTGCGTCGGAAGTATTTCTGGTGGGGCATGAAGAGGTCCATCCAGGAAGTCATTGGGAAATGCGAGATATGCATGCGCACAAAATACGATCGACACCCCCCCAGAGGAGTTCAGGAGGAGACACCTACAGGGAATATGCCGCTACAGGACCTTCAGATTGACACGTTTACCTGGAAAGGGTTTAAGTGGGTCACGGTAATCGACATATTCAGCAAGGTGGCGATGGCATACCAAGTGATGGAGAAGTCAGCCAATGCAGTTGCGGAAGCCCTACAAACCTGGGTGCAGTTCTATGGGGTCCCCGAGAGGATTACTTCGGACGGTGGTAGGGAGTTCGACAATGCCGCGATTAGGGAGGAGGTGAAGCGATTGGAAATTGCGTGGCATTATAACACCCCAGGACATCCTAAAGGTAGAGGCGGTATTGAACGGCTGCACAGTACGTTAAGCGACCACGTCCGTGTATATCAGGGTGAAAAAGGGTTGGAGCCGGATGTGGCAATGAGGAAAGCGGTAACAGCCTATAACCACTCGATCCACTCCGTAACGGGGTTTTCACCCATGGAAGTTCTATTCGGGATGCGCAGGCCAAGGCGGGATTATGGGGAAACTACGCTTACCGAACCGTTAGTGGATCAAATTCTCAGCAATAGGGTAGAGGTAGAGAAAACATGGGGAAAGATAACGGCGAGAATTAAGCGGGAAAAGCAGAAGCGGGTGGAAAGGCAGAATGTACAAGTTCGCGACCAAATGGGGGAACTAAAAATAGGAACAATAGTTTACCGGAAATTGGGAACCAACAGAGGGAAACAATTGCTACGGTACGAGGGTCCATTCAGAGTGGTTGTTATTAGGGAGCATAACCTGGTAACTATTGAGAGCGTGAATGAGCCCAGAAAGAGGAGAACCGTTCATATCGAACAATTAAAGCTCCCAATGATAGAGTCGGGACATAGACCTATGGATTCGTAGTACCCTCACCGCTGTAGATAAAACAGAGGAATATGTTTTTTTTTGTGGCTGTCAAAACAAAACAAGTTGTAAAAGATTTTTTTTTGTTTTTTTTTGTTGTATTATTTCATGTATAGAGGAAATTGTGTTTTTTTTTTGTTGTTGTTAGGAGTTCTCAAGTGGTAGGAGTTCTAAAGTGCTGTGTTTAGTTTCAGTGTTTTTAATTATTTCTTCTGTATTTAATATTTTTCCAGTTGAGTGGAACTATTTTATTTTCTTTTAAGGATATACTGTAAAACCAATTGTAAAGTGTTAAGGCTGGTCACCGTGGGCTCCGATCTAGCAATATTTAAGTTTCCGAAAATCCTGTTCGTAAACTGGTGGGGGGGAGATAAAGACCGGAGACTGGCGGTATCAGCCTTAATACTATCTGGTAATGTAAATAAACAGGCTAAGTGTATATAAGGAGGCTTATGGAACGAATAAAGCAGTGTTATTTCAGAAGTCGTGTATGTTACATCTTTCCCCTTTTCCTTCTTTTTTTTTGTTTTCTAAGTCCGACGACGCTTAACTTATATACACCTGTTATAGTGGATGGAATTGATTTGAATTCAGGTTTCTCATACCCTAAGTTTTCTAGCTAGTGAGAAATTCCTTCAATTGTTTTACATACCTATAAGTAACATGTTTTTTTGATACATTTATTAATATATAAAAATGTTTAAATTTTAATAAACATTTTATATCTACATATTTTTAAGATGTATTAATTTTAATTTAGGCTTTTGCGAATAGTAAATATTATAAAGGAGGTTTTGACCCAAAAATGAGTAAGAGAGAAGCAAGCCTGATCCTAGGAGTGTCTCCATCTGCCAACAAAATCAAAATAAAAGTATGTTAAATTGATTAGAATATCTTTACTAGGATAGTTGTGAAGTTTATATTTGAAGTATCATTTACCATATCTTGGATTGGAATGTTTATTATTCATTTACAGGAGGCACACAAAAGAATTATAACTTTAAATCATCCGGACAGGGGCGGATCTCCATACCTAGCTGCCAAAATCAATGAAGCCAAAGACCTATTAGAAAGTGGAAAATAAAATCTGTTTAAATCAATGTTATATTTTTAAAAAATAATGATTTAGATTGTGATTATTTATTTATTAATGTTATGTATTATATATATGTATATATACATTTATAATACACATAATGTATTTTTATAGTTTGTATAGTGTATATAATTATTGAAGTTATCTTATAGTTGTCTATAAGATTGCTTGTATCTTGTTTGTGAATATAGCAGTTTATGAAAAGCTCTACTAAGTCTATCTTACCATTTTAGTGTTAGTAAAAATTACTTGTGATTGATAAATTGTCTCTCTTTTCTTCTTTTCATTTGTGGCATTACAACTCTTAGTGAGTTAAGGCCTCTTGAAATTTGAACATTTTTTATTGGCTGCTCCTTCTTTCATGTTATGAACATCCAAGATGGATCCTGCATCAGGAGGAACACATCTGGTCAAGCAACCGGGAAGGTCTAATGTTGATAACTAACAAAGTCAGGGTTCATGTACAGTTTTTCTAACTTTGTGTTAATTCAGATCTTCCATTATTATACAGGTAACAAATTATTTTCTTATGGTAACCAGCTAACATTAAAAGGGATGGACTTTTTGTGCTCTTTTTATCATATTATCGATACAAATGCTAACTATCGAATAAGAAAACCTGCGATTTTCAATTGTACACTCAAGCGATTACTCCAGAAGATGGACACAGTGGCAAAGTCTTGTACCCGCATTGCCTTTGTGAAGTACTGATAGCAATTGCAATGTATTGAAAATTTGATTTGTTTATTGATGCTCTTTGGCCAAGTATTCGATACAATTTTCACGGTTCTGCAATTAAAATTTTTAACTTATTTTTTTGATAAAAATGTTGCCAAATATTGAATTTTGTCATAGTCATTACTTCGATCTGTGTGTATTTGTACAGAAGATCAATCTATTTATCGCAAAACATTGAACACTTTATTTCTGATTGTTTGACGTGGTTTTATTTTTCAGTTTTCTAATGCAATTTTGTAGCAAACTCTTAAATGTGGCATATTCTTTTCTTTGCATTGACAATTATTTACTGAGTTTTCTTAATTTATGCAATGCAAATTAGCGAATATATCATATTTATCAGTTTGCAATGCAGAAAGTGAAGATTTTATATTTCAAACCAGGAATGCAATCTAACAAATTGTATTTAATTAATTGTAATTACATATTTTTAAACAGCGAATACAAAATCTTCAAACACTCATAAAAGCACATATTAGTGTGAAAATTAAAACATTCTCGTTGTTTGGGCTGAATTGATAATGATATAAGTGTTTTTTTTTTTTTGAAAAGTGGTAATTTTCAGATTTGATAGTTAGCATTTGTTTTGTCGATAGAATGAATTTTAGTGCCAATACTTGATGAGTTTTAGAAAAAAAAATCTTTAATTTACGCAACTTATTAATTGAATTTTTTAAATACTGAATTTTATTAATGTAACTATAGAACATTTCGTCAGTTTATTGCAAAAACTCATTAAGTGACATTTCATAACCCCAAACAATTAGGAACTTAGATGAACTTTCCCTTTGTGAAATCAGGAAATTGTGCACGTAGTGTAATTGTATGTGATAAATAACAGGTTTTGTGTCATTTTCAAGCACTTACGTGTTTTTTGTTTGGTAAGATCAAAATTCACAAAAATATATTGAATGCATATAAAAATAATCTATATCAAAAATGCACTTGGTGACTTTTTGTAATAAACTGATGATTTATTTTTCTAATAACAAGTCATTTCATGATTTTTAATGCTATTGTCTGTAAAAAATTAATGCACTTAAACAATGCATATAGATAATTATATTACTGAACAAGAACTATTATTTTATGAATTTAGTAAAGGATTGTATGAGAAGATTCTTTGCGTTTCTAAAGTTTTGCGACTAATGAACCTGCTTCATCTATTATAAAATATGCACTATATTTTGAAATAAAATAGTCCACAAAGGAACTATATATCATTAGGTTAGATTGTTGATTAAATTGAAGAAGATGGTTGAATCCTATTGTATGTAGGCAAATAAAATAAATTTATTTACCTTAGTATAAAATTGTTTTTTATTTACAAATTCTTGATTAATGCATTTGTTTTATACTGAATCGATTAAAATGTTTTAAATAGCTTTCTTTGGTTTCTATTTTATATTCTATTAAATAGGGTATACAGTATTATTCCTAGAATTTGGATTGTTTTGCGGATAATTTTTAGCTGATGTACCTTTATAAACTTTATAAAGGTTTGGTGTGCCCAAGGAGGTTCACTTGAGTTCTGAGTTGATCCACAGCTGATGGAACTAAATAATTAATTATGATGTAGAGATGGTTGACCGTGATATAATATGAGAAGGAGTTGATTTGGGTGGTGCGGTCAACTCCTCATAAATAATTAATTGTTTGCCACAACTGGTCTTGAAGAATAGGAGCACATGGACTTGCTGAGCTACTCTGCTCCATTTATATAACAATTATGTTAATGATCCATAATATTAATGAGAGGCTCTCGTGATTAATAAATAAAAATTAAGAAAAAAAAAAAAAATGTGCTGTACTTTGTTTGTTCTAATATATTACTTTTTAGCTGTCTGGTTCATTGGCTTTAAATTCCCAATTCATGATTTCTAGTTTTTTACAAATAACTCACTGTTAAATTCCAACAGTCAGAAAAATATGATAGGTAAATAAAATATATGCATCGTTATGTGAGAAGTTTACTGTAAATTAAGTATTATTGTTATGGCTTTGGAATATATTACAAGTCCTTTGGACTATAGTTTAGCTATAGATAAAAGTTCTTTTATATATATATATATATATATATATATATATATATACACATAGATTTATTTAATATACTTAGATTATTTAAAGCTACTAATAGTGAACCAAGAAGTTCTGACAAAAATACAGTTACAAAAGTTGTAATTCGTTTACATCCTTGGGTATTATTTAGATAATCCTTAACTCTAGATTCGAAAATTTTCATGATTGCAATACTTTTCTTTACTATATATTTCATATATAGGTAAGTGAAAAAAAAAACAGTAGGATTTGGCAAAACTCTAGAGGATAGTTGGATATTAGAATATTATAAATTGATATTACATTACGTTTCAATTGTGTTGAATTCCGTCTACTATTTTCAGTTGCCGATGTGCAAATGTATTTTTCATGTCCCTCCAAATGTATCCCCCCTAAAAACAGCTATTTCGATTTGCCCCAAATCAAAGAAATGTTGGAGGCTAGTATTCAATACATGACTGCAGTATGTGTGGCCTAGTATAAGTTTCATCAAATCCATAAACCTAAATCTATATATTTTTTTATATTTCTTTTTTTGGATTATTCCAAAAAATATTGTTTGTTTTTTCTTACATATTTGGTGTTTTTTTAAAAACAACTTTTTTTTCACCATTCAGACATTATTTAGATAATCCTTACCTCTATCAGTTTATTTTCTTTACATGTCAGGATAATAATCCCTATTAGTTTGTATTTTTGTTTCACTCAGTTAACCTGGAGTGGTTTGTAAAGAAAACTTAATATCTGTGATCGCCTTACACAAAGTTGGAAAATGTAGATCAGAGATTTTCAACACTTTGAAACTTTTGGGTATCAGCTGTATGTTCGTGTATCACACTATAAATAGATATAATGAGACCCTATCTGTATGAGACAGACCTCGACTGGGCCGTCCTCACACCGTGAGAACGGGAAATGCAGTAAGAGCATTGGCCGCTCGAATCAGAAGAAATCCCATTCGAAAACAACAAATCATGTCTCGGGAAATGGAAATCTCTGTCAGATCAATGTCTCGCATAGTAAAAACTGACCTTAGAATGGGCTCATTTCGAAGTATGACATGACAAAAGCTAAGCACTTCCCTAAAAGAAATAGAGTGGATAGATGCAAAGTGCTCCTTGGCTGTTACACCAATGGTCTTCATCGAAAGATTTTTTTTAGTAATGAGAATGTTTTTACAATTGGAGAAAAATTTAATCGCCAAAATGATCGTGTATACGCACACAGTTCTAAAGAAGCCCAGGAAGTCATTGGAAGAGTGGAAAGAGGTCATCACCCTTTCTCAGTGATGGTTTGGTGGGGAGTTTGCTTTGATGGCACCACAAAGCTCTATTTTTGTGAAAAAAGAGTTAAAACAGCCGCTAAAAACTATCAGGATGAGATTTTGGTACCTCTTGTATGTAAAGCCTCTAAATGACATGAAATGTTTGCTGGAAATCATTGGATTTTCCGGCAGGATTCTGCTCCAACTCACAAGGCCAGATCAACTCAGCAGTGGCTATAAAATAACATTTTAGAGTTCATCTCTGCCTCGGACTGTCCTCAGGAAGCCCTGATCTCAACCCACTAGATTATGGGCTTTGGTCCGAACTGGAGAGGATGGCATGCCATAGCGCACACCCTAACTAAGAAAGCCTCAAACAATCTCTGGTCCGAGCAGTTGAGCAGTTTCCTCAAGAAGTTCTGCGTGCTGCTATTGATGACTGGCCACATAGATTAAATGCCTGAGTCAAAGGCAAAAGGGGGACACTGAGTAATTTCTTTTTTACTCTATAGATTTACATTTTATTTTCTAATAAGGTTTTTGAAAAAAATTTATAACAATATTTATGACAGGACTAGGTATTTATGATAACTAAGTGCACCTCATCATCGGTGGAATTTGTCTTTTTCCCTTAAAGTAGTAACAACTTTAGTTTAAAAATTTATGAGAAATCATAATTTATCTAAATAAATTTAGTAGCAAAATATTCACAGGAAAAAATGATCTATATTTAAATATATATACATATTTCTGTAATTTATATTTTATTTATAAAATTGGTTTATTATGCAATTTGTGTATAATTTTGTTGAACTTTTTTATGTCTCACCATTTCCTATGTAAGAATGTTTAAGTGGGTTACTTAACAAAGATTTCAATATGATTAAAATTTATATATTTCCAATTACTATAATAACTTAATTATCTAAACTTTTTCATAGAAAATAATCAGGATTGTCACTGAGAGCACGTGATCTTGATTCATTCACTAATTCATGCTTCATCTTGATTTAAACTAAAAAATAAAAAAATACATATAAATAATTTAATATTTACTTTAATTCTTTTTTCTAAACTTAGTTCCTTTATCACTAAGTTTTAAAAAATAATTTATGAAAAGTGGTAACTACTAAGTAACATTAATCATTGAAAAGGATAATTTTGTTATTACATTAACTCAATAATTGATATTTTAACTTTTTTTGGCAATACTTCATCCAGAAATGAGCGATAAGATAACGAATAAGTTAAAGCTCAGTCAGGAGATTTTCATTTGCAAGATTACATTACATTATCTGGGTATTGGATCTGAAATGATAGCAAGAACAGTCTTCATGACCGTGAATTAAATTTGTTTAGTGTAAGAACTCAGATTATTTATGTCTACACAATGCCTCTGCATCTGGAATCAACGATTAAAATCATCCCCAATTAATCACTTTATCATTTAAGAATTAAATTTTTAAAAATAATGAAGGTGATAGATAATTTGTGATCATAAACAGTCTGTTCATATTTGTATTCAAATTTGAAATGAAGCCTTATTTAGATGTATACTATATCTAATTATAGTAATCAATTGCCCCTGGTAAAATCTTATTATGAAAGGTGACATAGCGTCGCATACTCTTCCAAAACTGTATTAATACTCCAAGGCTTATTAGAAGCTTAGCAAGAGAATTAAAGAAGAATTATGTATTCTTACTGAAGGTTATCTTTTTAGGCACAAGCACTTTGAAGCCTTCTTCAAAATTGCATCTTTCAAAACTCAAATCATATTCTTCAGTTATAGTTTTTCAATGATACGTCTTTTTATTCTTATATCTTGACACTATTTTTCATAAATTTTAACTGATTTATCCATACCACTTTTCATATCATTAATGTTAACAAATTGGTTATTCACATTCTGCTGGGTAGCTAAATTGTAGGGCACTGAGCTTCCAATGCTCAAGGTCCCAGGTTTGAATTCTTGACTCATGACAGAAAAATTTATTTATTCTGTTTCATTGATCATGGGGCGATCCTGGGCTCGGGAGACCCTCCTGGGGCACACCCAGTTTTTATAAAGTGATTAGATAATTAATTAATCAAGGGGAAAGACCCGGCACCACAAACTCGTGACAATATTTTGTCTTCTTATCAGATATCAGATTGCCGGGCAACGGCGGTGCTGTGAACACATGTTAGCCCGTTCGGCCACCCCGCCCTAAAGGGGGAAAGACCTGGCGGTTGAGCGTGATATCTGTCGAATTCCCTCCTTACACAACCGTTGACCCAGAAACAGTGCTTCCCTTTAATAGAACTGAACTCCAATGGGTTGTAGTGGTATTTAAGTTAAGAATTTCGATTTAAATAGCTTCAAAGCAAAGTTGATATTATTTCTGTGTATAATTTCAATGTTAGTATGTGATGAAAAAAAATACAGGTCTTTTTGAACAATTTTATATAAAAATGAGGTTTTAAGCTTTCCAATTTAAAAAAGCTCTTCCTGTATATAGTTTTATTATTTTTTTTTTTGCTACAGGTTTCAGTCATTAGAACTTCTTCAGGCTTATTTATGATGATCCTCTCCCTCCCCTCACACTCTCTCCTTTCAAAATAAAAAAATAAATAATACAAAAGTGCAGCAAAGAGAACAGACTTTTTAATAAAACTCTTAAATTTATGGATGAAATTTAATAAAAAAAATTCAAGTATATACAAAAAGAAGATGTCTTTTTATTTAAATTGATCTTACATCAAGCCTCAATTCATGAAAAATTATCCATTTTTTTATTTTATTGGTTATTACCAATTTATGATTCAGTTATTATTTCATTACCTGGTATGTTTTTGTTATAATTATTTCTGACGTCATTAAGTTTCCTGCCACGTCTTATGAAGATATATCATGTCTTGATTTTTTTCATGTCTAGTAATTTTTTTATTTTCTGAAGATTTAGAAGTGATAGTTCAAAACCATTTTTCATTGATAGGAATCAAGACTATCATTCTCAATGGAAACCAATTAATAAAACTAAGTGAGTAAAAGTAACTTTTTTTTTACTACAGCTGAATAATTTACCTTAATCACATTTGTATTTAACTTGGAGATATTTATAAGTTCCTTGACAAGGATCTCCAAACCATGTATTAACTGATTGCAATTCACATTCAGTCTTATGCGTGCATCTGAAAAAACAAAACTGTCAGTATATCTGTAGCATTTAACTATAGAATTCTAACAGTAGTTAGATTTTAAATGAATCCTTTTTTTTTACTATCTTTAAAATACATCTGGATTGCCATGTCACTAGATGACATTCATATGTTTATATAATATAAAACTTTTTTATATATTACTTGTTATTCACGACTTGGAATGCATTGCCAGCTTTGCATTGAGTATCATATATTTGTTGATGAGGGCATATGCTTTTATCAGTTCTTCCATAAAATGCATCTTCTATAATTAAGCTGGTACCTCTTGGGCATGTTATCTTCTGAGTGTTATTTTCACAAATAGTTATTGTTCGTGATTTGTGGATTGAGTCTGTATTTTTTTAAACAAAAGAATTACATAACATTAATATTATCAATGAAATAAAAATAAACTCTATAATGATATAGTTATTTTTAATATTTGTTGTTTACATTTTACACCTATAGATAAAAAGTTGAAGCAGTAATATTCTTGGAAATACTAAGAAACTGGTGTATAATGAACTGTTCAAAACTATGCTGTTTTAAGGCCTGAAGCTTGGATCCTTTTTATTATTGAAATGGGTTTCTGGAAGAGATCTGCCAGAAAATCAAAAATAGAGCTTGCAGAAAATAATAAAATCAGAGAAAGGAAGTAATAAGAAACATATTAGAAGTGGATGAAGAAGGAAGATTAAAGTGGTTTGACCACTCTATGCCTCTGAGATATTATTGAGCATATCAATGGATTACCTTTAGAAATGTTCTAAACTAAAATATAGTATAAAGCAGGGGTGCCCATCCCTCCCCAAGGTCGATGGCACATGAACCATCCCTCCTCCAAAAATTGTATTTCTCTCTTCTTCTTAAAAACAGTGCAAGCGAAAGTAGGGTGAGACAAATCCTAGATCATATACGCAACTTGTGCCATGGAACACCCTTCTGGACACCACTGGTGTAAAAGAATAAATTATTAAAAAAACTATAAACAGGAATTAATTGTGGGAGTAACAACTAGCTTCTAAGAAGAGGTTCATTGTCTTTTGAAGACTATTGCTATGTACTTTCTAAGGAGATTAAGTGAATGAACCTTGTGATATAAATCGTGAGCAACAAGCCTTCATTAAATTTAGGGTAAGGTGAAACTGTGGTTTATAACTAGAAAGTCTACACACTGCACTGTTCAACTTCTTCAAATAAATTATTTAAACTCAAATAAAACTAATTGAATATAGTAGAAAGACAATTTGGAAACAAAAAAATAATCTTTACCATAAGTTTTTTCTATACATAGGAGTAAATACTTATTAATTTAATATATAAAAATAATAAAATTTTGCCACTTTTATGTTTGTAACCTATCGATGTTAATTGGCCGCAACTGGTGCCATATATATAGTAATTTCAAATGAACAAATACTGATCAAATACCAAAATTGGTAATGGAATGAGAGGCTGAAAGTAAATAAAAGATAATGACCTACTTATGTACAATGGAAAAAAAAAGTAGATGAAAGCAAGACAGGACATGGGTTGATAGAAGGATTGGTGCTGACTTTTGAAAGTTATAGGGGGGGGGGGGAGAGAAGAGGAGAGGGGGCAGAGGAATGGTGGAGAAGGTAAGCTGTGATGGGGGACCTGTCAAGCCTATGTCACTGACCAAAATAGGATACCGCTAAACAAATTTGACTATACTAGCTAGTAGATAAATAGAGTCCTTTGTAATTACATAACCGATATGTTCATGAAATTCATAATACAGCCATTTGTTGGAAGAGGGAGACTGAGCCCCAAGAACGACAGCATTGGGAGGGGAGGGAAAGCTCAAACCCAGCGAGCCACTAGTAATCAGCACCTATGAACAGAAGAAGTAATTGACGGGAAGAGATAAAGAAAGAGGCTTATATAGCTTTGGTTAAAATAAGAAAACTTCATAAATAAAGAAATCCATAGAAGGAAATTATAGTAGTTCTTAGTGAAATGATGAATGAAGAAGTGGAATTTAAACATAGAAAGATAGGAAGCATTGCATATTAAGAGTGGAATGGAATACCTCAAAGGTGGCTCAGTTGATTACGAATTTGTCAAATGCAGTAGCTAAGGGGTGTAGAGATTAAATAAGAAAGAGTGTATTACAGCAGTGAATTTTGGACATGAAACTGGAAGAGTCAGAAGATAAATAAATGGAAAGCAATGGGATGGGATTAAAAAGTTTCATGAAACAAGCTATTAACGATTTACGTTAGTGAAAGTGGAATAGTCTCTTTAATTTGGTGTGATATTGAGTGGTACATTCATTCAATAATTACGTATTACTCTGATTTTCTTTTAACAGAAAATTAGTGGGCTTTATCAAAATAGAAGCCTTTTTCATATATGAGAGTTATATTCATTGGGATATTTGGAATTAATTGTATGCTAGTATAAGTGCACTGCATGTTTTATTAGTCAAGATGAAGAAACTTAATTTTTTTTTACCTTGTACACATTGGTATTCTACTGAAAGGTATTTATGAGTTCCTTCACATGGGTCTTTAAACCAATTGTTACTTGCCTCTAAATGACATTCATTCTTATTCTCACATCTGAAATAAAATATAGCAGTACTTGAATAAATGAATGAAATAATAATTTTATTCTGGGAATAAAGTCCCTTAAGAATAATAACAATTTGAAAATTTTTCTCATTAGTCTGATTTAAAGAAATACAAAAAGGTGCTTGTCCATTAACTGTTAATTCTAATTATACAGTTGATTAAGTTATACAGAAAAAAGTAAATATTACATGGCTTACATGCATACAAAAATATAGAAAATAAAAAATATTAAATGAATAGGAAGGAATATATTAAATGAATAGGTTGAGATCAGGCATTAAGAGTGAATAGAAGGACATAGGGTAAGGAGTCCTAGGATGTAGGGAGAATTTTTGGGTCTGAGGAGTTGGAAAAGGGAAATCATCAATGCTAGATATACTGTATTAAGTAACGATTAAAAAAAAAAAAGAAAAAAGAGCAAATAGCTTGAAAAGAGACAAAGTGATGTTGACAGGTTAACTCATGCCTATATATTAGGGACTTATGGCTTCATAATTTGGATTTTTATAACTTAATGATTAAAAATATTTGTGAATAGTTCATAAATTAATTAACTCACTTTTTATTGACTATGGATAAAGAGTTTTCCGCTCTGCAATTAGTAGTTTTAATATTTTGATTGGGGCATATATTTTTATCTGTTCGACCATAAGAAGCATTTTTAATCTTGATAAGCGTTCCTTCTGGACATCTAATTTTCTTTGATTGAGATTCACAAATGTGTTCTACATGGGTAGGTTGATCTGAAATTATGATTCAAAATTTCAATAAAGTATTGTAATATACTGTAATTATGGTTAATTTACCTTGGATTGTATTAAATTATGGAAGTTTATTACCTACTTTTTAATAATATAATAAATAATTGCGTATATTAGAGTATTTATCAATGTAATTAGTTCATAAATATTTGTCTTACTAATAGTTTCACATAATAAATGAATATAGATATGAATAAGATTAACAATTAATTGTAATTATTTTATGAAAATGGTGTATTTTGTTCCATACCTTTGCCACATGTGAAGTCAAATCTCAGATACTTATAGGTATTTGGGCAAGGATCACCAAACCAATTGTTTGAGGCTTCCAGATGACATTTGTCATTATTGTCACATCTAAAATGGTTTATATATTGTGAAAATTAATTTAGAATAACTAAACATCTGAATTATTCTATGGTAAAAATATTGTTACTAAAATATTGTTCTTTTTTTGAGTTCTAAATATACTGTATTTTAGATGAATGTATGGAAGAGCCGGAATAAGGGACCATTTGTTTTTTTTTAGCTTAATTTAAAAATATTTCATTTACAATTTGATATAAACGTTGTAGCTAATTCAAGATTTAATTGAGAGGTGGCTAACCATTTATTTGAAAACTGCTTATTATCATTTTGGTTAGTCGTTTTTTCAGTTATTTTACTGTTTTGGGTATTTTTTTAATTGACCAATGTTTAGGCATCATCGCTCAAATCACTAATCTCGATTCTTGAGTTTCAATATTATTTACTCTTATTTCACATATTATTGTGTCTTTGGATCCAGGTTTTAGTAAGGTATCATTTTAAATTGAACAATGATTGTACAAGTGTGACACATTAATAATTTCCACATTTATTTATGTTTTGTTTAATTAATTGCAAATATGATTTTTAATAAAAAAAAATAATTAAAATATGATGTTTAAATTGAATAAACAATAATATTATGATTATTTAATAAGAGCGAAGCAGCTCAGTGAGTTAGGTACTGAACTGGTAAGCTCAAGGTCCGAGGTTCGAATTTAGCTAATGCCAAGTAATATTTTATCAGCCATGATCGTTCCTGGGGTCGGGAGATCCTCCTGGGGCCTACCCAGCCTCTGTCCAAGTGGGTACACTTAATATAATATTTAATTTAGGGAAAAACCTGGTGAATGAGCGTGGTCATGGCCTGATCATCTATCTGCACGACCTTGGCCTTGAAACAGTACTTCCTAACATATTTAATTAATAATTAATTGAGAAGTAAAACCTGCCGTTTGAGGGTGATTTGCGGTCAAATCACCTTCTTTCACAACCCTTGCTCAAGAAACAAAACTTTCTTAGTTAGTGCTGAACCCAAAACTCATGAGTTGTAGTGGTACAGTTTAAAAAAAAAATTAATTAACATTATAATTTAATGTTATATTTAAATTTTCTTTGAAACATTATATTTGTTAACAAACATTTTTTTATGGTAAGGATCAAAAATTTTTTTTCATCCTTATAATTTTAACAATCAACTACTTACCCATCCCTAAAGTATTTTTTATATTGAATCTATAAAAACTGTTATAATAATTCCAGTTCTTTTTTTCTCACAATTCAAACTAATTTATTCTTTTGGAAAAAAAATCGATTATTCCCATTGTCCATTATTCTAAGCGGCTATATTGGGCTATATAAAAAGGGTGAAAAAACGAAACAAAAACTGAATAATCAACGACCAGTTATTTTCCAATAACCGCCATCAAAATTTCAGAATTAAGCTGATACAACTAAAATTTAATTATTTAAAAAAAGTGTAGACGTAGTGATTGTATCGAAAATTTAAATCGATTCAGCTGCCACTGTTTGGGCGGGAGAGTTAAGAGGCTGTGTTCAGAGTTTTCTTTGATCTTGGCTAACACCCTTAGAAGATATTTAAAGGTAATTTATTAATTATATAATTTAAAAACATATAAAGTAGTTTAACATATTCACTGCTTTAATGGCGGTTACATTGATTTAAACTTAAACTTTTCAATACTAATTTAAATTTAAAAAATAAAACAAAACCTAATCAATGATAAAGAGCTATGAATTAAAATATTTAGGGATAGGTAGTTTATCATGGTTTAACACGAAAACAGGGGTTTTAATAACAAAAACAATTAGTATTAATTGATACTATTAACTATCGGGTACAATATTGATTTAACTTTATTATTATTAGGTTACGCATTAAAAAAATTGTAAGAAGAAAATGTCTTGGTAACTGCACTAAAGAATTTATTTTTTTTGTAGGTTTTACTTTCATTTTCGATTAAGTTAGTTACATCTCCCTCACCTTTTTAAAACAATAAACTGTGCACATTGTTTAATTACATTAGTATGAAACTTGTGCTTCATATCGAAAGGAAGTTTGTTATTACTCCTGTGATTGAATTATTTTAATTGGTCATCTTCCTCTGACCGTTAACACTAGAAATATTAAGTTGCGTTTAGACATTTCACAAACTATGGAAAACACAATTATCTCACTTAACTAACAGCGGCATTGTTGCTAAATGAAACTATTGATTTTATTTCTCTTGATACCGAAAGCAGATGGAAATTATCAAAACAAAGAAACAAAAATACTAGCCTAGTGAAGTAACCATTTATATATTTGTTTTTCCCATAGTTTGTGAAATGTCTAAACACCTTTACAGTAAAACTTATATATATATCGATAATTTTATGGGATAAAAAAACAAAACAATAAATACGCGAAACCAGGTATTAAAAATGACAAATGAAATGGTTGTTAGTATGGCAGAATATATTAAAAGAGTGATTAATAATGTGTATTATGAACTGTGGGATGCAGAACATTGTAAGAACAAAAAAAAAAAAAAAAAAAAAAAAAATATACAACCCTTTTATAATGTAATTCATCAATAACCATAAATATGCAATTTCACTTTTGTTCGATGTTTCGTTTTTGAGCTAGATTGTTAAAACACACACACAGACCATTTTGCAGGACTTGGTTATTTGGACTCAAGGGATTTGAAAACGTGTATTTCCGTTGAAAACAGAGATTCGAAAATTTTCAAGATCGAAATACTTTACTGTATATTTCATATATAGGTAAGTGAAAGTAAAAATTTGCTTTTTCTCGACTTAAAAAAAAAAAGACAGATGTCCGTCTTTGACGTGAAGAAACTTATTTACTTTTAAAAGTTAATATTTTTTAATGTCTTTTAAGGTATTATATTAATTCCATAAACTATTAATATTTATATCAAATATTTACTTTTTTCGGAGGACATCTAGGGCGTTGGTTCCCTTGCAGTTGGTATCATACATTTGGGCGTGTGGGCAGGTATGTTTGTCTGTCCTCCCATAATAAGCATTCCTTATTTTTATTGTTCCATATTCGCACTGAATATTTTCATGAGAGTTTTCACATATCACTACCTCTTCTTCAGCTGGTTGGACAGTGTCTGAATCTGTTGATTGAACTGAAAAAAATAAAATCTATTAGATGACTTCTATTCGTTGTCGCTTAAAACACGCTGATTTTTCAACTTTGTCCGATCTGCTGTATACATTTTTAGTATTAACCAAATGTATTAGCCGTAAGTCGAAAAAAATATATTAATATATAGATATAGATATTCAAATAATTCATAGTAGGCATAAACAAAATCTTGAACAAATGATTGAAATTCATTGAGACGTTTCCAATGAATAACAATGTTTTTATTATGACTATTGCGAAACCTTGACTTCCATAAGGCCCCATAAAAATTTAAAAAATAACTCCCCCTCACCCAATTTTATAAAATTAATTTTGGATCCTCCTCTATAATACAAAATCCACCTCGAAGAAAGATTTTCAAATTTTAATACTATACAAACTATACTACCGTCAACGACGGGTAGCTGGTCTAATATATTTACAACAAACACTGAATGATAAAGAAAAAAAACTGCTCCTAAAAAATGAAATATACTAAGTGTTCTCTAATAGATTGACGAAACCTCTTAATTAAAAACTAAATAAAGCAATATTAATAATTTATAATAAAAAATATACGATACATAATATTTAAATGTAGACAATTCAATTTAAGTTAAAATTAAATCATAGGAAATTAAAGTTTGTATTCATACGTAAATAATAAAAACGAAATATTGTCAGGAAAAGGAACATTTATTTTTTCAAATCGATTTCCATATCAGCAATATTTGATATATGTTGCAATAGTTAGAATAAATTTAATACAGAAATGTTAATGACGCATATTTCTATAGAATACGATTATTCTGATTTATATTATCTTTAACAGTGACAAGACATAAATCTTTTTATTCTTTCGGCTCATTTACTATTCGTATGAACAATACCTTTTTTTTATCAGTTGTTAACATCCGTCTAAAACTTCCTTAATGGCTTCGTGTTATCTTAATCGACTACTTTTTATTTACTAAAATTCTCGGAAATGGAGCGTTTTCAATCTAGAGATGAGTGAACTTTTGTTAATTTAATGAGATTCTAAAAACTAAGGAAAACCCATTTGCTTTCCACTTGAATCGTTAGATAATATGATCACAAAATTGAGAAACAAAGTGGTCTGCAATAATACTGGTAAGTTTGGCATGACCTTCGCCACCAACACGTAAAATAATAAGATTAATTACCTTTTTTCTCAATTGTGTTATAAAATTGTCTTAGGATTTAAGGGGAAATCAAATGGATAGTTAGGAGTTTTAGTACCTCATTAAAGTAATTTATTTAATGAGAAAACTCCTCATTCCAAAGAATTTTGGTTGATGAGAAAGTTTTAGGTTATGATAAGATGAAAACATTCATGAAGTTTTAGACGGATGTTAATAATTTGGTAAAAAGGGATCTGCACCGGTTGTTGGCTGTTTACGGTTCTAGAGGGCATTTGATTTTGAAAACACGAAACATATTTATAATTGTGGATTGATGGTTGACTGTAGTGAATAATTGAAGAGAAGAATGATTGGAGTGATCAGTCCAAAGACCTATCTTAACTTACAAACTCTTCCAGAGCATCGCCAGCCCAGTTGACATAAATATGTTTCGTCAAAAAAATAATTAAAATAAATAATTATATTTATTTTTATATTTGCCGACGTTTCGGCTCAAAGTTCAGGCCTTCATCAGGGCTAAGAACAAATACTATTTAAAAAAGTTTTGACTGTTTAAAAAAAATTATAGACCACTTTTTGTCTGTACTTACGTTCATTATCTTATACATTCCATTATTTTTCGTTGTTAAATCATTTTTCATTTCTTATGTTACCTTATTTTGATTATGTTTATTTCATTAGTTCCTACTTTGTTGCCGTTATTATTTATTTCTTAGTTCTCTGTTACTGTTATTATTCTACCTACTTTATTTTTGTTTAATGTTCACACTATCTACTTTATTTTACTTTAAGGCTTATTCTAACTACATTTTTTTTAGTTTTAATTTTTAATTTAATTCCTTATTGTTCATTGTTTATAGTTTCTCATACCTATTGTTATCTGTTTTATTCTTAGCCCTGAAATTTGGGCCGAAACGTCGGCAAACATAAAAATAAATATAATTATTTTTTTGATGAAACATATTTATGTCAACTGGCTTGGCGATGCTCTGGAAGAGTTTGTAAGTTATGATATGTCTTAGAACAACTTAAAACCAATTAAAAAAAAATCAATATATTAATTTTTTTTTTGTGGTACAGATATTTACAAAATATTAAAATACTCAAGCAATGATGAAAAGTGCACGAAAATTTTAGGTTTCTTCATTTATAAAATATACATTTACTTTTATTATAAGTTTCTGCATTATTAGTTTTTATTTATTGTAAATAGAGTGTGAGTGTGCTGTCTGAACACTATTATAAATGTCATTAATTGTGACAGAATATAATATTTCTGAATAAATATATAAAAAAAAAAAAAATAAAATAAAATGGAGCGGGACCAGGTAGGAATACAAATGAAAAATTGAAAAACATCGGAACTAGTTTTCACATTTTTGAAGTGCTTCGTTTTCTACAATGTTATAGTCTATAGAGAAATAAATGATACGTCTACTTTTAGTATTCGTCCGATGTATTAGTATTTTTGGTTAATTCATAAAGTAAAGTTTTGATTTTTTTGCATCTTATACTTTAAGTGTTTATTTTTTTAGGTACGTACATATCAGCATGCCTTGGTGTAATTGGGTTAGTTACAGGCTAAATACCTTCTCCCAGGTTTTCTATTTAGTAAGGTTCATGTAAGTACCATTGTTTTATTTTCTTGCAAAGTTCCATATCCTATTGCTTCTTTATTTTGTGTCTTTGAAATTATACGTGAAATTATTCAGAACTCTTTAAAAATATGAAAAGTCTAGTCTGTGCCACGAATACGGGATAGTGAAATAAAAATAGTTTTATTCAGAACTGGAAGGAAGTTTCCTACCTCTAAGGCCTTCGTCAGATTCAGCGTCCGCATTCATGCATGATGAGCTTTAAAGTTTTCCATTCCATGCATATATTAAGGAAAACCGGTTATTATTATTATTATTATTTTCCCATAAGATAATGCAAAACAATGTTTTCATGGTCTCCCGGAGTATGTTGTAAATGAGATTGGCAAGTGTTTCTCCATTATCAACTCATTCTCCAACCTATGTTCGATCGAATTACATCCTTTCCAGGCAATTGAATTTATTTTATACTTCTAGTCAGTGAAAGTATTGGAATAAGGAATTACTAAAACTATGGAAGAATATTCTTCTTTTTATTATTATCCTCTTCTAGCTCGGAGCAGTGTGGAGGGTTTCCTGCTTGTAGAGAAAGGTCCAGGAGTCCCGATCCTGTACAAGCTGGTTGCGTGCGTAGTTGCCTGGCAATTCTTTCTTTTTCCATTCTTTTACCGTGATTGAACCACCTTTGCTGGTTCTCTTCAATTGTATATGCGACCGGTCTGATTTTCTGAATACTTTTAATTGTATTCCTGATCCTATCTCTTCTTGTTTTTCCTTCAATCATCCTCAGGTACCTCATCTCCATTTCTTGTATTTGGCTCCTACGTCTTGATTTCAGAGTCCAAGACTCACTGATGTACTTGAATAGGGTATGAATGTTGTCTGGTATGCCACTTTTTATATATTTTTCTTTCCCAGAAAACCAAACTAAAGTAAATAGAAGCATTTCTCTGCCAATTTTATCCTCTCTATGATTTACTATCTATCCAACCTTTTTCATTTAGGTGAAACCTTGAATATCTAAAGTCTCTGAATTGAATACCTAATTCCTCTTCCTTTAGTCGGAGTATTCGGTCTCCACGTTTTTTCTCCGTTCCTATCCTCATTACTTTCGTCAGAAGAATATTTTAGAGATAAATAAAGAATATATGAAGTATCTACTAAAAAAAAAGAAAAGGGATCACTCTAGATTTTAAAATTATTAAAAACTTAATAAGAATTAACATAAAAAAATTGCCAAAGATGTAATAAATTTCTGACACGCTATTTTGTCCTTTTCGTAGCTTTGTATTTTGTAACGCAAATTGGTTTTTCAGTAAACAATTTTTTTTTAAAACAGATTTAATAAAGAAATATCAAAATGGAGTTGATAGACGCTTAATACGATTTTTCGTTATTAAAAACTTGTACTGAGGAGCAGTGGCTAAATGTGAGGGCTTATTAGGAAATTAAATATATAAACAATATATTTAATATAATTGACAGACGGATACATTGTGCGCCAAAAATAGAAAAAAAAAACAATTTTTTTCAAACGTATATGGAGATAATGGAACCGAATGATTATAACAAAATCTTGAAAGTAAGTTGTTTAAATACGAAAATTATAAAATGATAGGGTCCTCTTATATCTGTGGAACCTGTGAGTAGTGTGATAAGTGCAATTTTTTAAATTTTGATTTATGGATAGCCTTGTGTTTCATGGGCTAAGTTGAGTACGGCTTTTACAAAGATGAATATTCCTTTGTCCATCAATTCCAAAGTTTCAATTGTGTTTTTCGAAAATACGATTTTCGTACTAACACACTGTTCACAGATATACTACAAATTTCACTTATATTATAATAAAGTAATTTCTGTTTCGTACACACAATGAGACATACACCATGATGACAAGGTACATTTGATTAACTGAATCTGAAATTTATTTGAGAAAACAAGACTATTACAAACTAAGATTTTTACGAACAGAGTGTTTTAAAAAAAAATTGAAAAAAATGCACTACAGTTTAGCATAAACCATGTTATAATTATTTAAAAAAACAGACAATGTACCATGTCCATGGGTGAAAACGCAACCATTGTATGTTTACGTTTTAATAATTTTCACATTTAGATGTGAAACGAAGAATTTCACTTTAGAGATGGTCAATTGATGCAAAATCATTGTATATCCTAATGTAAATTCCCCGCTCCTCCTCAAAATCTAAAGATCTAAACTTTAATAAACAACTTGGTCATTGAATTAATTAAATTTACAAAATGTTATCTTCTACAAGAGCCTAATCATTTAAACTTGTTAAGCTGGTTTAGAAAAAACAAATTTAAGTTTAAGTTTTTGACATTCAATGGATTCCGTTATCTGGTAACATAGTTATCCCTGAGTAAAAACACTTTTGTTAATTCGTCTCGTTTATTCTTTCCTATGTTTTATTTATAGTGATTGAAAATAATATTTACAGGGTACTTTTTTATAAATTTTCCATATTGATTGACGTTTAGGGTCCCGTTCCTATACAACGTTGCGTGATGTTATAAGCCATAAAGCGTTCTTGAGTTTATCTAACACAAAAAGACTTTTTCAAACCGGTCTGGTATTTCGTAAAACTAGTTAAAGATCTAGAATCGGGATTCTTTTAATAAAAACAAATCGGAATAATACTTACCAACCTCGAAAGCGAGGACCACTACCCAAAATAACTTGGGGATTCCGTTCTTGAGAAGAGCCATATCGACTGTGAGGAGCTTCTTGCACGGCAGCTCTATAAACATTCACCACTTCCCCTCCCCTACCTCCGAACGCTTCGCAGTTTCCTTAACAGTTCAATGCCGAATGGGAGTTCAAAACTTGATTTTTTAAAATATTATCTAAGGAAGTTCTCATCCTGGAAAAAGGGAAGTGTCTTCTACGCTCTATTATTTGAAGATCCAAAAAGCAAAATTGAGATGAACCTACTTCAAACTGCGAAAAAAAATTACAAGTTTGCGTCCCTCATGATGACTTCGATATATTTCTCACCTAGTGCCGGCGAAGAGGAAGTGTCGCTTTTAACTCTGGCATGAATTCCCCGTCCTCTCCCCTGGCCCTAAAAAATCCCATATTTTGTGAATAATCATATTGGGTTGGCAAATAAGTCCTTTCGGTTTTTCAGGGTGAAATAAAACTCAGTGTATTATAGACATACAATTTATTTTAATCTACAATATATTGACCATTATTTAATATGCAATTTTCTCATCTTTTCACTAACTGCATAATGCCATGTTCATAGAATGTCGGGAGTTTATTTTTATAAAACTGATCCAAGTGTTTTTTGATATTTTCTGCCTTTTGGAATTTATTTCCATTCATGGAGTTCTACAGAGACCGGAATAAGTGGTACTCACTTGGAGCTAGGTCTGGTGAATAGGAAGGGTGAGGCAAAATGTACCATCCAAGGATCAATCATTTATTGCGAGTGACCAATGAGGTGTCGGGCCTAGCGTTGTCTTGTTTGAACACAACACTCTTCCGATCATTCATAACTCTTCAGGATGTTCTCCAAATTCGATGTTACTATATCCGTAGGAAAGCTGAATTATTGCTCTTCAAAGCCGTATGAATGGTTTTTTTTATTTAATTCCTACATAAGGAATAAATAAATAAATACTCCTTATAGGTTTTTATTTTTCATCTCCATTTGTAGTTTGTTTACGAAGGCCCTGCTGATGTCATTCTGTGTAGTTGTGGCCCTAAAGTTCTGCACAATTTCTTGTAGATAGCTAATGTTGTATTGAAGTTATCATGTGAGGGACCCAAAAATTAAGCCTGGAAACATAGCCGACTTGTGCAAATGGTTTTCTAGGCGCGTGCGACATTTAGGACCATAGCAATCTCTTTCACTGATTGGGTGGGATTTTGATCAACAATGCCATTAACATTGCTTGTTTTAATTTCATATGGGCGACCAGACCTTTGGCAAATCAATTTTGACAGGTGCGTTCGGTTAAGGCATAATCCTCATAAACACTGCAAATTGTTTTATGAGATTAAGCAACACGCTTACCTTTTTTAAAATAATACAAAAAAATATGCCGATAATGAATGATATTTTCTTTCATATCCACAGTGCAATAGCGAACACAATACTTTGCTAGTTTCAACAAGAGTTAACAGATATAGTTGTTGACATATTACAAACAGGATCCACAATCCACCTTAGGGATTAATTCATCAGATAAGAAGTATATCAGAGTGACATAAAAATAAACAGACAAACCGAAAGGCCTTATTGGTCCATCCAATATATAAAACAATAAGCCAAACTTGTGGGAAAAGCAGTAAAATGCTAAAAAAAAAGTGTTACTAAAATTTAAACCCAATAGCAATATCTTTTAAGTTAAGCGATTGTCATTTTATTGCTGCAATGTTGGATTTAAATAGAAAAGAAAGTTATTTTTTCAAAGCGAACATTCGTAACTAGCATTGTCGGAATTACGGATGGGTTACCCGGACCTGATGAACACTTGTTGGAAATTATCAAAAATTGCTTTATTTCTGACTATCTGACTATTGAGTTGGCATTGTTGAGAAATCTCAGATTTTAACCCCAGAAAAAATAAATAAACATAAAGCATCGTTCCTGGAGTGTTGAGATATGTTTATGACGTAGCACTAATTTTCAGGTAGACTAAATATATAAATAATGTTAATTTAATTATCAATTATGAGAGACTCGAGAGTTTGTGTTCGGTTTTCCAATAGTTTATTTAAACACCATTTAAATATGTATAATTTTGAAATTATTGACGAATTCCGACATTCCTTCATCACCTGAACACAATTGAGGAGTTTGCTATCACGCTAGCGGATCCAATAATTAATTTTGGGGGGACTTTAGTCCGAAAGGTTTTTTTTTTTTGAAAATGCCAAAAAGAATTTTTATAATTCTTATTTCGATTACACATTTTGTAAGAAGAGGGAGACAATAAAGTTTCTTAGGACGGATACATCCCTGTGTTTTACCATAAAATACATTAATATAGTTTAATAAGTAAATTTATTCAATAATTGTTATAGATTTATTAATATTTCTGTTAAAAAAAAAAGAAGGTATTTATATGAATTTAAATAAGTTCGTTGCCTCCATTTCTTGTATGGAAACTGGTTTTGTATAACGGGTTTATTAATAACGCCCAGCAGTAATATATTTATTTAAATTGACCTCTAAAGGAATGTAATTATCTTTAATTTGATGATACTTATAATACATATTTATAATATTACATCTTTATAATGTATTCGAAAATATTGGGTTTGCAAGGTAATGAAGATGTTTTTGATTGAAAATGCAATATATAATTTATGTAACTAAAATTATACTTAATTAATGATAGAATTTTTAATTCTGATTTATAAATTTATGACATCCTTTCATTACATTTTCTAACAAAATGGAACATTGGTGTCTCCAATGTCTGATGATACCTTATGCAGTATAAATTAAAGGATTAATGCAAGGATTAATGCAATTAAAGGGTGTATGCCGCGGCTCTTTCTGACGTGTTAGAGCGTCTAAATGCATTTTATAATTTGGGAGTCAGAAAGATAAAGTTGGTGAGTAACGTTTTAAAAAAAAAAATATTATCTATGAATAAAGATGTGATATACTTTTAATATTTCCTACTTTCATTGGCGTTATTTTAATAGTTGACTCACAACTGAGTTGATAAAGGTTCCAAGTGACTATGCGCGTATCATTTATTACTCCTGTCGAATAATAATAAATTAAAATAAGTAATTGAAAAAATACACCTTTATTAGAAGTGGTCTACAGTGGATTTAATTTTGAAAACAAATATATATTGTTTCGTGTTTAATCTATTTCTATAATCATATTTATTGCTCATTTAAATAATTAGTCAGTGGAATATAAATATAATAAAAGGTATCCCTCAAAGCAAATTAAATGAATAAGTATTATTTAATCTTGAATGCTATACTTTGTTAAGCGAATTGTTATTATTTAGTTAAAATAAGATCGTTAGAATACTAAGCGTTATTGATATGGTTTTGAAAAGAAATAATTTAGCTTTCTAACGATTGTAGTATTGTTTACTTAAGAGAAAATTCTGAGGAGCTATGAATATTTTAGTAAACGACATGAAAAAAAAATCCCCCCTTAAAATTAAGTCCGAAATTTTAAATTTTTGATTTTAAAACAAACTCGTATTCAAGAGTTTTAGTGGATACTGAAATCGAATTTGAATAGTTTATTAGTGAAAAAAATTAACTTGGCCTATTTTACATGAAGCGTTTTTAAAAATTTATTATACATTACAATTCGTTTAATACAATCAGAAATATATTTTTATTATTTTACAGAAAACAATATATATATTTTACAATTGATTGATATATAATAACTTAGAAATTCATGCAGAGCAGTCAGAAAATGTATATAAAAAAATAATAACATTTTATAAAATATTTTTTATCTCGGATCCTATGGCGTTTTGGCAAGAACCCTTGGACAAGGATCTAATATTTTTCGACCTAGTATCACTAAAAAAAGTTATATAAATCGGGGATTCCATGTCTCCAACTTCCCCTTATCAGATAGTGACTTTTTTCAATAAACACGACGCCACTTTTGCTCATATTTTGCAATGGCAGAGCAGAATAGAAGAGTAGGTGCATTAGAACTTAGCAGAAATTCGGTCTAATAGACTGAACTTCTATCTAATTTTTGTTTTTTCGACTACTAGAAATATCAGATTCATCTCCTTAGCAATAGCGAATCCAGGATTTAATTTCGGAGTTTTATTTTTTATTTTATTTTATTTTTTTTATAGGTACTTAATCTAACAAAAAAAAAAAAGAAAAATAGAAACTATATAAAATGATGTTTAAGTGGTCCTTACATGCTATGAAGGTTAATAAAGGAACAATAATGCTTATAAGGATAATATTTTTTGTATATTTTCCCCTGACACGTGTTTACACGTAACTGCATTCTATGCATTGCAATTTAAAAAGATTACATCTTGTAGTTGTTTTAGTATTTAACTTAAAACACTTACAGTAAGAAGTGGACCAATGAAAACAGAAATTTTTTGGAGAGGGACTTTAGCCCGAAGTTCTTCTCCATGGATCCGCAAGTTTTCTTAATGAACATATTTTGTTAAATCTGTTTAAATGAAAAAAATCAAAACAAATTCTATGGCGCATGTATCGAAATAAAGTCGTGAATTTCCCATTAAACTTTTCGTGGAGACTGTGATTATTTTGTTGATAGCAAAATATTGGTAGCTGGGGAAAAAAGTGATGAGACATCGACTTGAAATAACATAACATATAACAATTTTACATAAGGAAAATTTGAAGAATGTGAAGCACAGCGTTATCTCTTATTCGCCGTTTTTAGAATGACGTGGGTCAACTTCTAACACAGGTTTGTGTTGTGCTTTTTTTGAGAGATGATATACTTTTCTATAAATTAAATGGTAAATATTTACCATTATTATTACTTATATTCTTTTCACAATTTTTTTATTTGTCCCTTATGGTCAGTTTCAATTATTCAAATTATTCTTTGATTGTGATTTATTTAACGTTTCGTGCAGTGCCGTCTTTAGGGCAGGGCAACCGGAACAATTACCCCGGGGGGCACGTTGGGGGCGTAGGCCAATCTTCTGGGGCGCTCGCCACTTAGAAATTAAAAAAAAATACAAAACGCGTTAAAACAATTAATTTTAGCCTATCAAAAAAGCAACTGTATTAGGGAAATATTGAATGAAATAAAATTCAAATATTACATAATATAAAATGATTAAGAAAAAAAATTTAAATTTTTTAAAGTAAGAGATGACGTCATTTACTGGGGGCGCCGAATGTCTACGGCCGTCACTGGTTTCGTGAAATCTGCGACCTCCTCTCCAATAATATTTTATTCACGATAGCTTAAGGCGTCACAATAATATAATATAATATTTAACAGAATAAGATTGGTTCAATGGTTAATATCTAACTAAAAAAAAAAAAAATAGTTGGATTACGTTTTTTACTTAGATATAAACCATTGAACCAATCTTAGTATATTAAATTATTGTGATTTACCCAATTTCTATGGGGAATAATATATTGTTAAAAATTGGGCGAAGATTCCCCGAAGCGTTTAATAAATTACAATCAACGTATAATTTAAACTGACCATTAGGCAAATAAATCAATATGAGTAAATATTTAATGTATAGAACTTACCTGGCTCAAAGTAAATAAAAAAAAAATAGATATGTGTGTTATTTGGTTTTTTATTTTATACAAAAATCCGTTCCCTAAACTTCTCCTTCATCCCACGTCGAGCCTTAATAACCTTAAATTATTTTTTAAAATTTATTTAGTTAGAAATATAATAATCCGTCACTTGGAAAATAGTCATAGTGATATATGAATACTTTCATACTATATATACAGAAAATATAAAATTAACAAAAGTAAAATAATAATTAAAAACTATGAACAATAAAAAATAACCTAAAGCTAAGTAAATTACATAAAAAACATAAAAACACAGTCATGCCTATATACAATATATACTATTAGGCAGGGAACCCCAAGCCAGCTTCTCCCTCCAACTGTAGGGGGAAAAGCAGGACTACAAGAGATCCATGCGCTACTCTCAACCGCGTCACTGGTGCTGAAGCCAGTGGAGTAACCTACCGTAAAATAAAAAAAATCAATTTAGGAGGAGATTTATAAAATCAATTTATACTTCAACTATTTTATTTCATTCAATATGTCTTTAATTCAGCAATTTTATTAAAAAACTCCTTGATTTGTCTTGGCTTCTCAAACTTCTTCTCATCTACTTTCTCTCTTAATTATTTCCTTTAACTTTTCAAAAAGTTTCTTCTTTTTTTTGTTTGGCCCATGCTTTGTTTATTTATCATTATGGTATATCATGATCCAATAATATTTGTAATAATTAAAATTTATAATTTTTATTCTATTTTTTTTATTGGTCTGATGCTTATAAAACAAATAGTCCGCTTTACAGACCCTTTTTACCAGATTATTAACACTCTTACAAAGCTTCATGAGTAACTTCATTTTATCATAACCTATAATTTTTTTTACTTTGAAAATTCTCAGAAATGAAGCGTTTTATGATTAAATTAATTAATAAAATTAATTATTATGATGAGGTGATAAAAATTGAATATCCATTTTCACTTGAATCGTAAGATAATTTGTTTAGAAAATCGAGAAAAAAAGAGACCAAAAAAATATTGGGCCTTTTGGGTTGACCTGCGTCCCCAACATTACGAGACCTACAAAAATATTAGGCTGTTTGGCCACGTTAAATTGTCAAATTTCAGTTTCAAATTGAACGCCCCATCCCCAAAATATTTCGTAAATAAAAAAGCTTTTAGGTTATGAGAGGGTATAAGATGAAACCATTCACGAAGTTTTAGATGGATATTAATAATTTGAGAAAAAGGGGTCTGTACCGTGGATTAAAACGAAATATTTATGATTCAATTACTTACAAAAATTAAAACATTTTCTAAAAGTTCTCAGAGAACGATACATATACTATTATTGGCATATCATTTTTGAAAAAAAATTAAAGTTTGTTAGGTATTAAAAGAGTCCTATTGATTTAATGGAACTGGTTCTGGAACAACTTGGATGGTCTGGGCAAACCAGCTTAACAGAAAAAAGAGAAAACCATTAATACTCGGTTTGGTTTGTAATAGCTATGTCTTGTTAATCGCTCTTTCCTCTTTTAGGATTATCTTCCATAGTTTCCTTATTGCCTTGTAGAATGACCTCTACCGGTTTTATGAGTTTATTTTGATTTCCTACGGTAACGGTGATAACAAAATATTTGTTGCGATATGTTGAAATAAAATTTAAATTCTGGTGTTAGGTACATATTTAACTATGTATTGTATATTAAAAATGGTGATAGTACAGAACCGTTTAAGGCTCTCGGAAATGATGTGTTTTTACAAACGAGGTGTGAGAAGAAAGGAAATTTTATGAAGTCCAATTACGATCCTAAAATCATTATAATAGAGTGCTACCAATAGGTAGTTTTTTAACTATCGTTTTCATGTGATTATATTCCTCTATACACATTTACTTGATGTATTTATACTGATACACTTGTAAATATCATAAATAAATAAAATAAAAAAAATAATAAATCATTAAATAAATAGGCAATGGCAAAACAGTCAAGTTTTTTTTTCTCCACTGTTTATCAACCGATTATTTTTTTTTGTTTAGTAGCTATTGAAGAAATTTAGTGCCGAAATTAGTTATATCAATAAACAAAATTTGGAAACAGTGTGTATAAATAAAAATGAAAATGTTAGTTTGTTCAAAACCGTTATGCTAGTTGTTAGTTGTTCCGAAAGTCCTTCACCGATTGCTTTGAAATTTCAATGCAACTTTGCAATCAAATTCAGGTTAACAATCAGCCTTTCTTTTGAAAATATCGGCCGAAAAACCTGAGACGCTGTAGACTATAGCGCCAAAACGGCTGTAACAATTTTAATGAGGCTTGACTAAAGTGTTCTCCTTGGAGCCATTTTAAACAATGCATACAACATATAGGTTTGGCTCTATCAGAAAGTATTGGACCCTGCGTTTTATGGTCCTAAGATCTATCCTTTTCGAAATAGATCGTATTTCTTTCCAAAAGCCTCTTAGATGGTTTTTATTTGATACTTATGTAGATTTAGATTGGTTTTTATAGTCCTTGTAAAGTTAAAAAACTATGGAAAAATTGATCTAAGGAGAATAGTTCTGAGGACCATAGGGCGTTTCTTTTCTTTTTTCACTCTTATTTTCGGTTTATATTTTTAGAAGAACTGTGTTGAATATATTAAGTCTTCATATAATTAAGAAGTGAAATATTCCTCCTACTATTTGAAAAAGCAATGAAAACACATTGCACAATTTTTACACATTATTTCTCAAAGATGTTCTTAAAATCATTGAAATCGGACTTAACAAAACAATTGTGATTTATACAAATGTTTTGGTGTATCGTTTTTTATTTTTTAAAAAGTTCCACTTTGGTTCTGTGAAACTTTTAAGTAAAAAAGGTCTTAAAATAAAAGTTCGGAGGATCTTTTTTAAATAAAGTTCCTGGTTTATGGTAAAAGTTTAACTTTTATTATTTATTTAAATTCTTAAAAAAATTATGTTAAATGGGTAATGAACAGTAGTTGAGCTTAGATTACTCCTTCGAACAATAGTTGATGCTCCGTTCTATATAACCAACAAACACCATTCATTACCTTGATATTCCATTTGTCCTAGAGCTTATCCCTGAAACTTTTTCCAAATTCCATCAAAACCTTACATATCATCCAAATCAACTTGCACAATCCCTATCTATCTCTACCATCCCTTCAATCCTTCTCGGAGGTTGAAGCGGCAGTGGCCCAGAGACCTGTTTTAAACATATATTGGAGTTCTGGAAATGGTCAGATTCTTCATTCAATGTATGTCTAGCTATAGTGCCTCTTCTCAGCCTCCACTGGTCCTTAATACCAGTGATGCGGCTGAGTGAGAGGCAGTGGGTTCTCCTAGAGTACTTCCTTTCCTTCCACGATTGGGGGAAAAGGCTTTGCTTGGAGATCTTGAGTGAATCAATTTTATAATATTGTATAAAAACATGTGTGTGTTTAAATAGATATTTTGGTTTATTTAAATTATTTTTTTTATTTTAGTTTCTTTTAGTTTACATACATTTACTTTTAGTACTATTATTACTATTACCTTTTATTAAATTATTATATATATATATATATATATATATATATATATATATATCTTTTTTTTTTGTTTATTTCTTAGTGGTTACATACTACTTTTTAAATAATATATGTAATGTTAGAATTTCTATAAGTTAGTTTTTGGCTAGATTTGTATTTTATTTTGTATTAATTCATCTTTGTTATTCTAAGGGGACTTAGTCCGAGAATAAAGTTCAATTTTCTATTCTATTCTACTTTTGCTGTTTATTTATTTTTCGTTCATAGTGTAAATGAGCTACTGTTATATCACTATTACCATTGTCCTTAGATGTGAGAAATTGTAATATATCTCATTAAAAAAAAATTACGAATTGGCATAAATGAATTACACATGATTGTGATGTGCCGATTGTTTGATTAGGTGAGAATATAATTTTATATCAAATTTTTAATAAATTAATGGAACTTTTAAATAATTCTTTTTCTGTTAAGTTCCGTAACACCTATACTTCGAAATTTGCAAGAGAATACGTTGTAGTTCCGAAGTAACAGAAAAACAAAATTAAAAATAAAGAATCCTATCGTTCCGAATCTGATTAAAAATAAAAGTTAAAGTATCATTTCAAGCACGGGCGGATCTACGGGGGGAGGGGAGGGTCTTTCGGGCTGAAGACCCCCAAAAATGGTAAAATATAACCATGCTTTATCGAAAAAAATATTTAAAAACTATCTCTTAAAATATAATTATTCGTGTAATTACATTTAAAAGGGCTTTAGGAATCACTTAAACACTAGTTCATATAGGTACTTAGTTTCTTTCTTATTTTCCAAGGTAATTATCGTTACTTTTATGAAAAAAAAAAGCTTTCGGGCTAAAGCCCCACCCCCAAAATTAAATCCTGGATCCGCTAGTGAGCACAAGGAAATGAAAATGAATCCTTTGATGTTATAATACATTGAATTTATTTATTTCCAAATTGAATTAGTATTTTTGACGAATACACTGTACGAATTATTCGTCTGGACCAACTAGTTATTATAATTTTATTTATTTGAAGGAAACATAGTAAAAACTACTAATAACTAAAAATAGTAATATTTATTGGCATTATTAGAAGCCATATAAAGATGATTAAGACAATTTTCAAGATTTTGTTCTAAATCTGGCGAAAGGAATGCACGACGACAGATCCTCCTTTTTCTTCACAACTCTAATGTCCAATTGGTCATTCGGGTCCAGGCCGCCGATTGAGAGTTCTTTTCCCAAGTCGAAAGCTTTTCCGTCCAGAACGTCAGACCAATCCTTCTCATCTGCTCCCTGTTTATGAACAAAACAAAATGTATATTAAGAAGAAAAGTAAATTATATCCTCGGACATTTAGGCCCATTAGAATTATAACAATGAACAATAGAGCTGCTATAATATATGTTTGATTTGTTGGGGTGTAAAATGACAAGAAATAATTAAATTACAGAATGATGTAGCCATAAAATTAAAATAAAAGAATAAACAAAATTAAACAAATAAAATTATAGAGAAATAAATAGCAGTGTATTTACATACAGTACGGAAATGGGTGAGGGATTCTAACACAAGCTAGTTGTATGAGAAGCAATATACAGGTTAATGGGCTGGAATTTTGTGTTTAGAAAATAAACAGTGGAACAAGCAGTAGTAAAATCAAAGAGGTAAGTAGATTTTTTGAGTTAATAGAAAGATTTTAAAAATGAATGCATCAAGGAAATATTGCCTTCGGAAAAAGTGGATAAAGTCATTTCCTTTAACCCGGCATACCAACTGGATACGTGGGAGTGGCTGGAAGCTCCAAAGATGTATCTAATGAAACAATTCATTAGTATCTTTAATTTGATATCAAGCCCATCTGACAGTCCACTGTATTCAAGGCAGCTATAATCGAAGTTAGGAAAAATGAGAGAGGAAACTAGTAGCTGACGATTTTTTGGAGGAATAGAATCACGGAATCTCAAGAACTGTTTTAGGATAATAATAGGTTTTCGGATAATTTGGAAAATATGGTAATTCCAGGACAGATATATAGGTATAAAGATAAAAGTTTACCTCGAGATTTGTAAGGGAAGTGTGGAAAGGAGTAGGTAATCCATTAAGGTAGAGTAGGGGATAATAAATAATACAATTAATAAGGAGCTTGTAACCAATGACAATCGCTTTGGTCCATTCAATGTTCAAGCCCAAATCATCTAGCTGTTCATGCGGTAATACTGTCTATATCCTCTTGTAGTCTTCCAGTCTCCTCAAGCATCTTGGTAGGATGGAAGGAAAGATAGAAATGGAGATAGATATGGAGCATACGAATGGTATTGTGAATGGTGAATGGAATCAGGAAGGTCGTTACTTATTACTTCACAAAATTTGTTCACTTGGACTATTTAGCTTACAGGGTCAACCTCTCACTGAAGATACCAGGCAATAATCACAATCTATAAAGGAGTAATGCAGGGTATTCTGAGGTACGCGTCCCCCGTCTGGTACCGTAACCTCTCACAAAAGCAGAAGAATAGGTTGGCGACGATACAGATAACGGTTCTGCAGCGGGTAATTTAGGCCTACAGGACTGTATTACACGAGGCAGTGCAGGTCTTGCCAGGAGGGGTGCTCTCGATCTTGTCCTGCTTGAAGATGCAACAGTGTTCGGCTGTAAGAGGGAAGGCTCAGCAGGAGTTCCGGAATGTCTCCGAGTGAGGATTGCAGATGAATCCAATAGATGGAAACAAGATAATCTGGGAGCACACCATTGAAGTATGGAATCTGCGATGGTTGACAACCCTGAAAGAAGTGACCTTACGAAAATTCTTCCCGACTGTACACTCACGATTAAAGGCGAAATGGGCGCTCTCGGATAACTGGGTTTCGCAAGTCTTCACGGAGCAGGGAGGCTTTCGGACCAAACTGCACGTCGGGACCCTATATCCCAGGTGGCACGTTCCGGAAACTGCCGAACACGTAGTAATGGTCTGCACTGGCTTTGAAGGACTTAGGAACACGAACCGGAGGAAAACGGGGTTGTTTGTTATAACAGAATATGATTTTCCCACCCTCATGCAAAAACAAAAACTACCCGTACTTCGAAGAGTTCGTGTACAGGTGGAAGACGACTGTGGGACCGGAACACTTTAACTTTGGTGAACCTAAGCTGCAGAAGAGGAAGAGAAGAGACGCAGAAGGCAATCCATAATGGACAAAGCTTCTAAAGGTGAGGAGTTCATTTGAACTTCAATTAAATCACTAAAGTTTAAATGGCAGGGGTAGCGTGATAGATATATTATTTATTACGCTACTCTCACCAAAACCCGTATTGCCGTAAGGCAAGGAAGGGTGTAAATAAAAAAATAAGTGAAGCAATGTTGTCTATTTTTTAAATTATCAATAATAAAAAAAATATATATAGATCAATGTTAGGGAAACCTTTATATTCAATATTTATTTTTCTTAATGTTACTTAGAAAGTAATGTTAATTTTGATGTTAAATTGCTTGAAAATAATAAACCATTGTGTAATAATTTACAGCCTTTTAGTATTAATTCAAATCACCGCATATGTTATGTATTAATGAGATAATAATCACATAAGATTCATAGTGGAAGTGTAAGTTATTTCAGTTTTTTTTTGTTTATTTATTATGAAATGTAATTTTACCTTCATCTGTGTCTTATACTCTGAAGATGTGGTTTTATTTAGCTTTTCTGAAGTAAATGTTACAGTGCTCTTGGTTACATCTTTTATGATTGGCGCCCCTATAAAATATCGACTATTATATTGAATTGAATTTTTAGATTTCTTCAGTAGTTAAAATCAAAATACTCCTCTAAGTTGATAAATTTAATCTATGTATTACCCGGTGAATCTTCTGGATCCCATATTTCTGTAACAAAAAAATAATAAAAAGTTTATAGATATTTTATATAGTGGAGAATAATCTGGAGTTAATGAAGAACAGCAATGATGAGCTTGTAACTGATAGTGGTTTGATCCTCTATATAGAGAAGGACAAACACTATTATGAGTAACGAGTACCTAATATCGAGTAATTAACTTACATTTAATTACAGCTAGGACTTAAATAATTACTTTCTTTGATAATTAACATTGAACTGAATTAGTGATAAAATTCAGTGTTAGTCAGACTCTGTTAATATTTCACTGAAATTAGGTAACGAAGCCAGTAACGAGTCCAGGTCACACACTTTAAACATACCCCTTGAAATAATTTTAAATATATTAATGTCCTTTAAAAATACGCTAGCATGCGGCTGCTTTAAAGTATAGCTTACTTCACGAAATTAATAATTGAAAATCATTAAATTGTCCTCGAAACTTAACCTTCAAACATATTATTTAGTTTTTTATGTTAATATGAAATCGAATATAAAAGTTTGACTAATAGGGAAGTCCTCTCTGATATCTTCAAAATTCACCCATCGAATAAATCTGGAGCTGGTCGTATATTATAAATATTTTCATGGTTTCAAAATTGCATGTCTGCTTAATTAAAAGTGCAACGAAAATGTTTTTTCTTTAAATGCTGTATTTTGTCTTTGGTTTTATTAATTGCATGGTCCATTCACTCAGTTATTGAAATACTTCTACGGAATCATTGCAAATCTAGAATTCTAGATTTTAATTAGCTTAGGTTTAATTTTATTTCCAGTCCTCAATAAAAAGTGGGGATTTTAAACTATATATTAACTTGTACCATATTTTTTTTTGATTCGTGTACCATATAAACACAATTTTTTCTGTAACATGACTTTTTCTTTCAAAAAACTTTTTCATACCCTGATTTTGGCTGGTATAAGCTCCGCATTACTACTTTCAAGCAATTTGGTTTCCTTCCTCCTTTTATAAATTATACGATCGAATGTAAAATTATAATAATTTACCATGGTCTGTGCTACGTTTTTACTTTGTATCCTGGTTGAAAAGTTTCTCCAAATTCAAACAACAAAAAAATAGTTCCCTCCAAAATCCATAAACCTCGACAAAATGTGCCCCTCTATATTTAATGGGACAATCAGTGCTACTTCATCCTCTAATTCTTCTCTGATAAATTATCTGAAAGTGTTTCGAATGGTACAAATAGATTCGTTGAAGTTTTAGTATATTAATTAGAGTTTGAATTCCGGTGCCAGGCAAACTTTTTGACTCTGACATTAATCCTCCGCCCTCCTCCCATGACTAGTAATAATCCCGTATAGCCAAAAAGGCGGGGAAGAGGAGACAAATTAAAAAAAAAAACACTTTAGTGTATTATGGGCGTTGAAATGTAAAGTAGTTTAAAGTTTGAAAAAGGTATTAATTCAGTTCGAATATCATAAAACAGTCTGAGTTCATAACGTTTTTGATATATTAAGACAATGTTCAAATGAAGGACTCATATTAGATTAAATAATATAAAGAAAAGTATAAGGTTCCCTTCATTAACATGCATTGTAGTTATGTCATTTTACATTACGGACATATATATGGTTCATTCTTAATGTCATATTATGTTCACTGCAAAATGATTGTCTTATGATATTAAATCTAAATTAAAAATAAAATTAAAAATCTTCCTTTTACCTAATAAATAAAACCCAAGATTAAAATATGTGCCAAATGAAACATTAAAAATAATAATGGAATTTTTTTTGTGATTTTGGGTTTTTAAAAGTGATTACGTAATTAATCTATCAAGAGATGATCCAGACTGTCTGAAAAAATATTTAATAACTTAATCTCTTAAATAATTATATATCTTTTATATATTATTATATTTACTTTATTATATATTTGTACAAAAATAATTAAAGGTAGTACTATGAATAATTAGATATCTTTTAGTTCGCACCTCCACAGAAATAATCTAGCTCCAGATATTTTGCAGTGCCTTTACAGGGATCACCAAAAACCTCATTTGTGGCTGGTATGACGCAGCGGCTCTTTCCTTGACATCTGTAGAAAACATCCATTAAATAATTATTTTTTCAAATAAACATAATGTCCATTTATATAGAAGAAGAAGAAGAAAGAGAAAAATAAATTTTATTCTGGGACTTTCAGTCCCCTAAGAAAAATTAACAATGAACAATTTGATTTGTCTGACATAAAAATATGATCAAGAATTAATTAAATTATAATAGAAAGGCACAAGTTAACATTTGAATTATTTTAAATTAGATAGATATATCAATATGAAAACGGCATAATGAGATTGACATTTCGAAAACACGAAAAAAATGGTAAAATAAATGGCGTTTAAATGATGTTAAGAAAGAGGATTTAAGTACGGAAGTAGGTAGGGATATTCCATAACATGATAGCACGTATGAGAAATGACTTTTTCTATCACAAGGAATAAAAAGGTTTGTGGGCTGGGATCTCTTGTTGAACGAATGGATCGAGAAGCACGGAGTAAACAGATCAAGAAGGTAAGCGGGTTTTTTGCTTGTAAAGCTTCGGAAAAAGAAAACACCTAGGAGAAACTGGCGTCGGAAAACTGGATAGAGTCACTTCAACTCGGCATACCAACTGGAGACGTGGGAGCGCCTGAGGGTTCCAAAGATGAATCTGATAAAACGTAAACTTATAAACATGCAATTTTGATAATACAACAAATAAAATCAATTGTTTTTAATTGGAAGTAATCATTTCCAAATCACAAAGAATTATATTTCCCATATTATCCGCAAATCTATTGCAACCCTAAAACAGTTCCTGAGATTTCGTGATTCTATGCCCCTAAAGACCCTCCGTCAGCTCCTAGTTTCTTCTCTCGTTTTTCCTCACTTTGATTACGGCTCGGTGGACTGTCTGGAGGACTCTAGATCATATTCAGAGGAGACTGATGAAATACTTTATCAGATTCATCTTTGGAACCCTCAGGCACTCCCACGTCTCCAGTTGGTATGCCGAGTTGAAGTGACTCTGTCCAGTTTTCCGAAGCCAGTTTCTCCTAGGTGTTTTCCTTTTCCGAAGCTTTACAAACAAAAAACCTTGTGGATATATGTCTTAAATCTAATATGCTCCATCGAAAGTTTCTATTTCATGTTACAATAAAATACAATATATCTAGGTATGTAACATCTAGAGCCTCGAATACCCTCTAGACACCCAATAATTAGTCTAAAAGCAAGATGTTGTTACATACCTAGATTTATTGTAACATGAAATAGAAACTAACGATAGAGCATATTAGATTTAAGGCATGTATCCACAAGATCATTGGAATCATGGTTCTGAAGATGGGAGTAAATATCCCGAAATGTAAACTTGTAAACATGCAATTTCGATAGTAAAACAAATAAAATCAATTGTTGTTAATTGGAAGTAATCATTGCCAAATCACAAAGAATATCATACAACTTCCAGAAAAAAGAAAAAAGGAAATATAATTGTTCCAGGAGAGGTATTGATCAAAAATTACTCCCTGATTTCTTACGGAAGTATAAATATGAATAGGTAGTCCATTGAGGTAGAGCAAGGGATAATAAGGAATGGAATTGATGAGATGCTTGGAACCAATGAGAATGGCTTTAGTCTTCTCCATGTTCAACTTTAAATCATTGCTGGCTGCCCAAGTGTTTATCACTATCTATATCTTCCTGTAGCCGTTGGATCGCCTAAAGCACCTTGGTGGGATGAAAGAAAGGGTAGATTTGATGGACGTCAGCATAAAGGTGGTATTGTGAATAATGGATGGAATCAGGAAGGTCGTAGGAATAGATGGGATCTAAGGATTGGACTGGTGGTTTAGAGAAATTAGTTTTTCAGCGGTCAATGAGCATAGATCCCGCCATGTAATTTTCTTAGGAATCAGGACGTTATAGAAAATCTTGATGAGATCATGATATGAGAGAAAGGATATAGATACTGTTGATTCGGATGATTATTATATAATGTCTGAACAGTATTTATTGGATTTTGTAATTAAAGGATCCCATTGTCTCACCGTGTTTGAAAATTACGAGTAAAAGAGAAGTTGATCTGTTTGAACTTATATCTGTCTCATCATAATCTGATTCAAATAATAAACTTTCAGAAATAAATTAGAAACATTTCTGGAATTCCAGAAGATGGAATATATGATTGAAGCTACGGGTTATTTCAGAAACGAAACCTATGTTATTTCTGCTGGTTTAGAGTTACGAATGGTTTTAGGTACATCATTCATAGACGCATCGTTTAGTACAAAATTAAAACATATTCCATAATATATTCCTTTAAAAAATCTATCAAAATCTTTTGCATTTAGATTCACAGCAGAAAGAAAACCTATGCTTTACATATGCAGTTTCTTCAGACATTATATTAAAAAATTGAAAAACATGTACAATAAGGTGCAAGATATAATGGATAATGTAACATTGTTAATGTGAATGTTTGCTAATTAAGAAAAAGTTAGAAAGTAAGAAAAAATAAAGATATAGAAGTGTAAAGGCGAAATTTTAAAAATTTCTTTAGAGTATAATAAATTGAAACAGTATTTAAGGAAAAATAAATCCAATCCAAGCACTCGGAAGGATATAACTGATGACACAGTATGGTTACCTTCCATACACAATGGCAATTTCGTTAGGGCTGGAACATCCTTTGGGCTTTATCGGAGTTGGGCTGTTGTTGCAGACGAACGGGTGTCCCCTTCCATACTCAGCTCTCACCACGTTGATCACAGAACTGTTTTTACAAACTATTTCCATGTTTCCATTTTCGCAAGCTGCTGCGTAACCTAAGTCGTCTGCAAAAATTAGAAAGTCAGTAATATTAAAAAAATGATGGCTTTTTGACCTTGCACTGCTGTCTTATAGTTATGGAATTTAATTATATTATTCTTTGTAAGAGAATTTATAATATGCATGGGAATGCAATTTTTTGACTCCCTTGTTTTATAATTCCAAAAATATCTTAAATTTGTCGTTTCTTTTACTCCACTCAAGTTCCTTCAAAAGAAATACTTTTATAAAACTCAATGAAAAAGGACTCCTTTCATCCTTTGATTAGTGAGACGCTTCTTCCTCGCATTTTAAATCTTGGCGAGAATATTCGTTGAAGTAATTCTTGATTAGTAATTATTATTATTATTAATCTGCTCAACTGTAGTTAACGGACATGGGCCTCAGAAAAAAGCTTACACCTATACGGCTGAGGTCATCTACGTTGTCGATCCACAGCAGCGGGAGTATTCCCCCAAGACCTGTTTCTCCTAAACAGCTATAGAGAATTTCCTTAGCAAACTATCTTCCTCAATCCTCTCTACATGGCAAAACTATCTGAGGCGGTGCTTTTTGACAGTGAATACAATATTGTCACTATTATAGAGCTCATATAACTCATCATTTTTTCTTATTCACCAATGATCATCTATTCTTTTGGGACCGTATATTTTCCTTAGGACTTTCCTGTCTCGAAATTTTAGCAACCACTCACTTTCCTGGGTCAAAACCCTGATTTCGCACCCGTAGGTAACGACTGGCCTAATACTGGTGTTATTTTGGCATCAGAAGTCAGTTCTTTTGACTTTAATATTTTTGCGAAAGCATAGAACCTCTTATCGCCTGCTGTTATTCTGGCTTTTATTTCAAACCGCGTTTTGTTTTGGTCTTTCACTACCCCTGCCAGATATTTAAGTACCTCCAAGATTGGTCCTTATTGTTCCACTAACCCCCTCTATGGCGAGATTAAAAGTAAGCTGAGAGCGCACTTTGAAATTTGACTTTACATTTTGTGGCTCTTTGCGTCATCTCTGTCAAGATAATTTTTTTTTTATGGAATTCGTAGCATTCTCATAGTTTGCATTAATTCCATTCTGTCTAAAATCTATAAAGACATGATGCAGGTCCACGTTATGTTTGTAAGTTTTCTGTAACATTTATCTGACAGCAAAGATGTGATCCACAGTTGATCTGCTTTTTCTGAACCCACATTGGTAGTCTCCGCAAATTATTTCTACCCATGATGCTAGTCTCTTATTAATAGCTAACGAGAAGACTTTATATACAGTTGGTAGCAGCGCTATTCCTCTGTAGTTAACACAATTTAACTTGTACCTCTTTTTAGAAATAAAACGCAGAACTGCCGTGTTTTTCAGAGATAGAGTACTGCGCCTATATTATGTATATGATGTCGTAGAGTTGTTTTATTAATTCTTCTCCGACGTTCTTTAGCAGCTCAGATGGTATTTCGTTCACTCCCTGAGATTTATTGTTCTTTAAAGCCATAATTATTTTATCTATTTTTTCCTTCTTTGGCGGTATTTCTTCTTCTTCATACATGTTACCTACATTTCGTTTTGGTTGTTTTTCATTAATTAGTTCTATACTTCCTTGGTTTAACACTTCTGACAAATATCCCGTCTGTCTGTTTAGTATTTCTTTTCTCATGTAGTACGTCATTATTTTATAGAAGCGTCTCTACATTCTAATTGGCAAAAACGAATCCTTTTTTAATGACATTTATAAAAGTATTATTTTTTTAAAGAACGTTGAAGTGGCATTGGAGAAATCACTATGCACCATGAGAAACCACTAACTCGTATATACCACCAATAGAGTAGTTTCTAGTTAGTTATTTTCATTTCATATCATATAGCTATAAATATCGTATAGCTCTATAAATATCATACACCGGTCATATTATATATACCTGTCATATCTATAAATAATATCGCCGGATTATTCCTAAAAGTTGTTTAGTGACATTTCATAATCTTAAATCTCTAAGATTTCTGATGCTTTGGAAAGTCAGAAAATCGTATGCTTGTTGTAACTATGTTTGATATAATAACAGAAGGGTTTGTGTACTTATTGTATTTTAAATCACTAAATAAGGTCGAAATTCATAAAAACCTTCTTAGTAGTCTGATAGTCCGTTAGAAAAAATCGACATTACCTGTTAAAACTTTTAAAAATATTTATATTTAAAAAATGAGAGTCTGCCAGTCAGATCTTGCTACCTGTAAAAATTGTGACTGATTTAATGAATATTAGAACAGTAACTTGAGGATTGAAACGGAAAATATATTGTGAAAAATGTGAGAAAAGTTTTTTTTTTTTAACTTGTATATATATATATATATATATATATATATATATATAGGTTCAGACATGTAAAAAATAAAATTTCTAACGCGACCTCCAAGGGAAAACTTTTTACAGCCAAAAATGCCAGATTTTTTCAAATCTATTTTTATTGTTTTCTGCTATAAATCCTAAACGGTGCTTAATATATTATATTAATCATACGTCTAGTTAGATCAGTTCTCTATTTATTATTCTTAAAAACATGATCTGTTGGTACCACAGGCGGATTTAAAGGGGGAGGTGGGCTTTCGGGCTGAAGCCCTCCCCAAAATGGTAAAATGTAACCATGTTTTATCGTAAAAAATATTAAAAAATTATGTCTTAAGGTATTATTTCTCATTTAATTACATTTAATAGGACTTCACGAATCACCATTTCATATAGGTAGTAAGTATCTTTCTGTTTTTCTAAAGTAATTATCGTTATATATATGAAAAAAAAAGCTTTCGGGCTGAACCCCCCCCCCCAAAAAAAAAAAAAAAATAAATAAATAAAATTAAATCCTGGATCCGCTAGTAGTTGGTACTAACTGGTAGCATTAACCTAACGTGAATATCTTATTTTTGTAAACATTTTATTTTTCGTTAAATACGGTAGTAATGTTTCAGCATTTGTTTGTGACATTTAAAAACTCAACAATATAGTATGATAATATTTACAAACTAAAAAAAATTACTACTAAAGCTTTAGTTTTTGTTTCACAAGTAATTTTTACACAAAAGGTTTACAAATATTTGCAAGGTTAATCGGCTGCGATACCGAAAACTTAATTTATATGTTTGTTCCGCAAATCCATTTCAGATAACTAGGAAAAACAAGATAATTAGTCCCTGCGTATTTTCAACAGTGCCAATGTCGCCAAGGGTCATTCCATGTCAAATCACTTAACGAAAAATAAATTTTAACTCTGCATTAAACGAATTAAATACATTACAAATCTTATTTTTTCTTCAGTAGTTTTTAAATATTTTTTAATTTTATTAGATAATAATCGAATCTGCCACTTTGAGGGCAATATGTATTAAGGCTAAAAGTATTCATCCATACAATATATACAAAAATATAAAATAAGTATAAATAAAAAAAAAAATAAATAAAAATATAAAATAAATATATTAGAAAAATAAAATAAAAACATTCATACCTATGTACAATATTTAAATTTGTCCGGGAAACTCCGAGACAAGCTTTGTCCTTCACCTGAGGAAGGCAATGCAAGAGTCCAGATGATCTCTGTGCCTCTCTTCCAGTCGCGTCACTGGTATTGAAAGCCAGTGGGGACTGAATGAGGACATTAGAGCCATATATGCTCAGATTTTTAAATATAGATTTTTAAAATATACTGAATCAGCCGAATTTCAACATATTGGTAATCAAAAAAATGCTCGTAGATTTACAATCGGTGGCGTTAAAGGAATGTTCAGTAGCTAATTGTATGGACTTTAATTTGATATGTGCAATCTTAAATAAGTATTTTTTAACTTATTTATAACATCTAAAAACACATTATATTAAATTTAAAAAATAATAATAGGCACTAGCTGATCCAGGATTTAATTTTGGGGGGAACTTCAGCCCGAAGGATTTTTTTTTTTCATATATATAACGATTATTAATTTAAAAAATAAACAGAAAGAAACTAACTACCCATATGACCTGGTGTTTTAGTTATTCTTGAAGTCCTATTAAATGTAATCGTACGAACAGTAAGAATTTAAGAGATAGTTTTTAATATTTTTTTTTTTAAACATGGTTATATTTTACCATTTTGGAGAGGGGCTTCAGCCCGAAAGCCCTCTCCCCTCCCCTCCCGTAAATCCTTCTGTGATAATAGGTGAAAATAAATCCTTATCCCTGCAGCATCATTGGTTGTAAAATAATGTAATAAAAAACACGATGAAATTCGACTGTTCCCGCAATTAAAAAATAAATTAATATTAAAATTAATGAATAATATAACAAAAATAAAATTGTATCGGAGGCAAAGAGGTTACGGCTTCTGCTGATTTGACATGGGATGGCCCCGACGATTGAATTATTTAGACCTAAGTAATGATATTAGTTGGAAATGACAAACTAAAACGAATTATAGAAAGCCAATACTCTGAGGCGGACACATATAGGAATATGGGCATTGTTATTTAAATAGTTTAAGTGCAAAATAATTACCTCTAATATGACGTGCGTTATTATTAATATTTAATATTAGTAAATGTTAGTTGGTTATTCATGTGCTGTGGAAACACCTCACATGTACTTGCAATACATGGATTAACTTAAACTAAACAATGCGCTTCGTTCTGTGTCCCCATTCAGCATACTAGATAAACATGCATATTTATAACTATTACGTCCATGCAAATTGAATACTTTATATTTATATATATATATATATATATATATATATATATATATATATATATATATATTTTCCCTGGATGTATTTTAACTACAGTTAATTAGAATTAGTAATCATTAATTTATTGTACTTTATTTTTATTAGGTTTGTTACTTAATCTAAATCACAACCCAATAGCAGTGTTGGTTAATTAAATCATAAAAGTAAAGAGTGTATTTTAAATGTTTTATGCCATTGGTCCAAAAGCAAAACCAGGAATGTCGAAACATCCGAATTTCATTCATGTACAAAGTTTAAAATTATTAGGGTGTTAAGATTCTAAAGGCGAAAGAAACCATAAATATTAAAAATGTAGCTCAAGAGGTCATTCGAGGAGCTAAGATACAGCGAACGTGATTTCTTTTATATTTGGAAGCCAAAGGAAACTTCAAATATTGTTTTCTTAAAATTAAGAATTTGTTTACAGTCTGCAGGCGTTCTTCAAGATAGTATTCTCAGTCTCATCCTCTAAATAGTTTATCCAGCTGACATTCCGATCCTTCCGGATACTAATACTTATGTACGGCGATGAAATATGTTAGATATTTGTTAATAATGGCTCTTTAATTGTATCCCAAACAATCCAATCACATAACACAAAACTTACATTTCATATAAAAAAAAATTACATTTCTATTAATCCTACCAAATCATAATTTACTTTCTGTCTTAAGCCTATGACTTCTTGTCCAATAGTATCCTTCAAAAATATTCTGCTTATCCCTGTTGAGCAAATCTGTTACCAAGGCCTTAGACAAACGTCTTCTTTGTAATCTGCATATGAGACTGAAACGACAAAAAACCGATTGAGATTTCCGGCTGCTCCGACATTTACTTAACACTGACCTTTCAGTTAATAACAAAAGACTCATTTACATGACTTTAATAAGGGACATATGGGCATGTGGAATCGAGCTTTGGGACTCCACCAAACCATCGAATTCTTCTCTTATCCAATCCTAACTACCCAAATCCTTAATATTTTGTCACAAATAAAATCGTTCATAAAGACATTGATGTCGCAGATTTGGCTCGATCCAGGTACCTATCCTTTCATGATAAACTCGAGACCCATTCGACCCCACTTTTTTTCAGCCTTGCTTCCTACTCGATTCCTGATAATCCTCCTGGACGTTTGGAAAGAAGATGGCCTCAGGATCTTTTCATTTAGAACGATTTAGGGAGTGCTATCCTTCGCCAGTATCTCGACAAGCCTGTTTATGTCATCATTCTTGTTTTGTTCACATTTGCTAGTTGTATTTTATTTAATATAGTTGTAAATTTCAATAAATAAAAACAAAATTAAAATTCACCTTGTGGTTTTGCCTTTGGACCAAGAATATATAAAACTATAATATGTAAATAATAATATTATATCGAAATTAATCTGATACACTTATTTTACCTACAATACATTGATAATCAACCATGAGGTATTTGTGGGTCCCTTTGCATGGGTTTCTGAACCAACTGTTGGAAGCGGTCAGTTCACATTGTTCCTTTTGATCACACCTATATAAGATATTACTGTTAAATAGTAATTAAAACAAAACTAATTATAGAATATAATTATATATAGAATGAAGTCTCTCGATAAGGACCTCTCTCTTTAAAGGACATCTATATTTACACGACACTTTTAAATGCACTGGCATTTGAGTACTCAAAACAATGGTTTTGAGTAATGAAACTCTTTATAGACATCAGATGTGGATAAGGAAAATTATCCGAAAACGGTTATTTCTTTGATAAAGAACACCTTAAAATTCGTTTCTTTGAATCTTCAGAAATATATCAGTATAATACGGTTTAATCCATATCTCTCACTGCCCTTTCATATTTTCTAAGAAAATTGCGTGTTTTGGATACTCATTTCGCTTACAATTTTGACAATAAAATCACAAGGTTAAAAAGAAAACTTTTATTTTTTATGTACAATACTTCTCACTCCAGTCCAAAATTAAAACCTCTAAATCAAGTCATTCTCGAACATTTAAGAGTTCATTATCGGAAAAGAGTTTCGAACTACTTGATACCAAAATAGATTCATATGAAGATTTTTGGGTTGTAAAATCCAGTCTAGTCCTTAATAGGAATTTTTGGATCATTTCTTCTATGAAAGATAATAACCAAAGCGCAGTTCGCAAAAAATGGATTTAAAGTGGTGCTGGATTTTATTTTTATTATTTTTTTTGTCCTCCCCTTCCTCGCCTTTTAGGCTTTAGGGGAATTTTTCCGGGCCAGGGAGTAAGGGCGGGGGGTTAATGCCAGAGTTAAAAGACCACCTTGGCATCGGTACGCGAACTCGGTATTATTTTATCACATTAATCTTCTATTGGATTGCCAGGCAATGCGTAGTGCTGTGCACTCGCGTTAGCCATCTAGGCCATCCCAACCCCCAAGTGGTGGTGGATTAAAATATAACGGCAGAAAAATAGATTGGTACTGTAGAAAATATGATTGGGAAGTCCTCGTCTTATGGCTATACGGGTTTTCCCGGGCCAGGTTAAAAAGCCCCTGCAGCGGGACTAGGGGAATTATTTTATCATGTAAACTTCTGTTTATCAGTACAAAAGGTCTATTTTATACACGCGTTAGCCCGTTCGGTCACCCTGCCCCACTGTGGAAAAATAGATGGCTATAAAATATGATTGGAAAATTAAGGATTGCAAGGGGCACACAGTTGCTAAAACTTAACCAAGTCGGCATTTTGTTCTTTCAGACAAAATTTTTATATTTCCTTCATATGAAGTTTGACATTTTTTATGTTTTTTTCAAACTAATGAAAACTTCAAATGTTTTTTATGAAATCTCGTAGAAAATTTAATTCTGAGAAGAAATATTCTATTATTTAAAATCGTAATATATTTTAAGCTTGAACGGGTTATAGAATATGACTTTTGTTATTTTGTTCCGCATGAAACAATAAACAAAACCCACCTAATGTGGTTAGGTTCGACTTGCATCCGGCTGAGTTATCGACATTCAAAGTTTTGCATTTATTACTCAAATTAACTTTTAAATTTTCCACCTGAAAGCGCCAATAATGTATATATTTGATTGATTTATTTAATCCGTACACATTCCTTATAGCCATAAAGATGAAAGAGGGCAGGAAAAAAACAAGTTGGGTGTGTAGCCATAGATAAAGACACAAATACAATATTTGTTTGTTTTTCACTATGAATAGAACCTCCAACTAACTTCTCTACCAATTGCAGTTTGATTTAAACAAATATTAGCCTTCTACATTCCTTTCATGAATATATGCTCATATATGTATGTGTGTATGCAAAATCTAAAGAACCTCTACATTGGAGAAGAACCTCTCGTTAAAATACTATCCGGTATCCAGAGATTTCACTTCATATGTATTAATTTATTACATTCCTTTTACTTATTGGCTTAATTGAAGTTTAACATCAAACATTCAACGCATAGGTTGTAGATCACTCAGTTACCATGATGGCCCCTCCAGCGCCCACATCTCTCTAGACCAGGGATATTTTATTCACCGGGTCACTTGTCACTTGCCCTCTCCCAGGGGATGTACACAGGGGCGTAAATAGCAGCTGGCAAGGTGAGAAATACCACAAGCCACAGGCCGGGGCCACCGATTGGGGAAGGAGATATATACTTTTTATGTTTATTTATCTATTAAAAGAAATTTTCATCTGCTTCTTAATTAAAACGTATTAATATAGGGAACAATGTGAAATCTTCGTTTCTGATTAGTACATCAAAATTTACGTATATTGTGCAAGGCAGGAACAAGACGAAAGAGAGGCCCTAAGTTGTAAAATTTAAAATTCTACTATTACGTCATAAATTTTACACTTTTTTTTAAAGATTTTTTTCGGCCGTTTACAAAATATTTAAGTTCAATTTTTTAAATCTCTATGCACCTTCGAAAACTTAGTCATTACAGTTGTCATTATTTGAACACAGTATAAAGTTGTCCCTAAGCGGTCAGTCGGAATGACATTCCGAGTGATGATCAATATCCTTGTCGATCATATTACAATTCATTATCTTGTTTTTGATTAGCGCTGATGATAGTCTAAAACATATGCTGAACCGGCAGCACAAAGAAAATAGACAATTTTTTGTTTCCTTCCTGACTACTACCTGACTAAAAGTTTCTTTAGTAAATTTGCTAAACAATTTTGACATTGACTTTATACCTCCCAACCTTTCGATTTTAATTGTATAATTAATATTTTAATAGCATTTAATAAACCTCCTACATGATCAAGATTCCTGGTTTTATTGTTATTTAGCTATGTTTTTAAGTTAAAGAGATGAAATACCTATGTTGAGGATGAGATCCGCAAAAAAAAAAAATAAATAAATAAACTCTTCTTCAAGAGGGGGTCCTTGGACTTCATAAGTAAAAAAAATTATTCTATATTCTTTGTAGTGACTTAATTTAAATTGAATTAGTGAGTTCTACCATTAATTTGGTCGTGTAATGAAGTGGTTCAGATATTATAATCTATTATTAAAACCATATACAGATAGTTTAGAGATAATAGCAATGTTGAATAAAAACATATTTTACTTTGCGCCAACGATGTCCATGACGTTTTTTGCCGAGCAGTTGGTATCTTTTATTTTCGGATGCGGACAAGTACTTTTATCTGCCCTTCCATAAAATGCTTCGGCTATCATGAGATATGTTCCTTTTGGGCATTTCAGAGTCTTGCTATCATTCTCACAAATCACAACTTGCTTTAAGGTGTCCGGCTCAACTGTAAAAAATGGTTTCTGATGTTTGATTTATATCAAATAAATAAGTTTCAATATAATAATTGAGATAAATATCATCCTATTCTAAATAAAAGTGTATACAATTAACAATATCACTAACTGAGTTTTTGATATGAGAAAACTATTTAAGCCTAAAAAAATAGTCAGAGATTGAAGACGTTGAACTATAACTTGCTCACAATCAGATGACAGTTCGAGAAGTCGCTCGCGCCTCTAAATTGAAATGGATTTTTTTTTAATGTTTACTTATTTATACATATTATCCTACACGGGTGGATCTGCGGGGGAGGAGACTTTGGGGCTGAGCTCCCCCCCCTCCCCAAATGGTAAAATATAACTTAAAGTATTATTGTTCGTGTAATTACATTTAAAAGGACTTTAGGAATCACTTAAACACCATTTCATATAGGTAGTTAATTTCTTTCTTTTTTTCCAAAGTAAGTATCGGTATTTTTATGAAAAAAAATCATTCGGGCTGAAGCTCCCCCCAAAATTAAATCCTGGATCCGCTAGTGTTATCCTATAATATATTTATATTCGTTTTATTTCCGCCTGAGTTTGTTCTTGGGCTGCCATTGATTGTGAGCGAATTATTGCTTAAAGACTTATATTTTTTTATTTTATTTTTTCTGACACCAATCACTCAATGCGAAGAATCGATTCATAAACAGATTTTAGTGTAATATTTTTTAAAAATAATTTAAATGCTTTTGATTCTCCATTTACTTTCATTATTATGGTTATTTAATTTAATTCACTTTCTTTAGGTTATTATGGTTATACTGATCTCTGTCTCACATTTCCATTGCTCTTTTTTAAAATAAAATTTAATTTATTTTTTGGAACACCTCTTCCTCTCCTTTTAGACTACGTGTTGTTTTTCCCGGACCAGAAGAGAGGGCAGGGAATTAATGGAAGAGTCGAGAGGGGATTAAGCCTCCCCTGCTGGCTGCAAAATTCTATAATTTAATAATATTTTATTATTCAATTTTAAACTTTGATCTATCAGGCACACGCGCTAGCCCTTTCGGCCACCCCGCTCCCTTCTTATCCATCCTGCCCCCTAAATATTTTTTGAAAAGGGGCTGTTCCTCCTCACTCTCTCCTCCTCCTCCTCTTCGATATTCCGCATCGTTTACTCAAAAAAAGTTCTATAAACCGTATGGTTAATAATTATATTACAGCTAATAAGACCCCGGCAATTCTTAGAAATTAAAAAATGAAATAAAAAGTCTGTGAGAATAATTAATTTTAGCTTATTAATGAAATAACCGAATTAGAGACACGTTAAATGAAATACTATTCTCATTAAGCAACAGAAAATAAATTAAATTTTTTGATGAGATGACGTCATTACCCGGGGGCGCCAAATGTCAAAACCGGCACTGTTAAATTGGCCCTCCCCAATATTTCTTAATTGCCGACGCCTACGTTCCGTTTTCAGGATTATTACAAGTCTTGAAAGTATTAATGATTCCAAAATATGAGGCTTTTTACTATAAAAACATAAGTGAAGATCAGGAAAACAACCTTAGATCAATTATGAATTATAGAAAACCAGTTTGAGGTGAAGATTGGCTGTTGATTTATTGTTTTTTTTGTAGGTATTATTAAATCTATAATTAAACGTTATTATTTTATTTTTGTCTCTTACATAGTATCTTTACTAGTATTAATAGAAAAGATTTTATTCGTATTGCGTATTCCAATTTAATGAAAACGATTCCATAATTCTGATACTTATTGAAAATGATCGGATGATACTATGCAATGAACGCACCACGGTATTTAAATCCACCGACATGTTTAAGAAATAAATATTTGACTATGTATGATGCTCATTGCTCACCTGGTTCGCACCTGTGTTTGACCTTTAAATATTTAATGATGCCTGGGCATGGATCACCGAATTCATCTGTGTTGGCTACGATCGTACATCTTTCTTTGTTATCGCACCTAAAAATCATAGAAATTGCAAAATTATTACATTTATTAAAATGGTCGTGTGATAATCAATAACCAGATATTGCTTGAAAATGTCTTTATAACGTTAGATGTTTATGTTTATAATTAGAATATATTTAAATAAGGCAATAATGACCCAAGTGGTTGAAGCCTTAAAATATAAAAAAAAAAAAGGGATATATTTATTTATTGGAATATGACACATGGGTTATCCCGTGAATAAAAAAAATAAAGTAATACAATTATTAAAAAGTCAACGAAAATATTTAAATTAATTCATTATAGTAAATTACATTTATAAATTACTACAGTAATGTGTAATTAGTATTTGTTATAAATAAAATTAAATTGCAATAGCTTATAGGGTACTACGGAATAAAGAGTTAAATTAATTTAATGTGGTTATGTTTTATATTACATGTTTAAAAAATAATTTGAATATATTCATAATGGAATGATCATTAAACATGCATTTATTTCCTCTAATTATTATTTTCATTCAACTTTATATACTATTTTTTTCTGACTACTTTAAAATTAAGATTCAAAAACGAACCTTTTACTTTTTCGAAAATTATTCTAATTTATGGAGTGTTGTTTTTGCCATATGTCACTAGCGGATCCAGGATTTAATTTTTGGAGGAGGGGGCTGCAGTCCGAAAGATTTTTTTTTTTCAAATATATATCGATAATTAATTTAAAAAAAAAAAGAAATTAACTACCTATATGAAATGGTGTTTAAGTGATTCTTGAAATCCTATCAAATGTAATTACACGAACAATAATACTTTAAGAGATAGTTTTTTATTAGTATAGTATTTTTTTTATTTATTATTATTATTTATTAATATATTAATTTATTATTATTTATTTTTATTTAATAGTATTTTTTTCTATAAAACATGGTTATATTTTACTGTTTTGGGAGGGGGGCTTCAGCCCAAAAGTCTCCCCCGTAGATCCGCATGTGCCATATGTAGTACATATTGTGGATGAGTTGCGTTTTTGAATGAGCCACGTCAAATAATTAATATTTCAACTTTTGGAAATAAAACACTTTATTTAAAAAAAAAAAAGAAATGTGGTGAAAACATTGATGTTTCAATTATCATGCGAGTAAACCTTTATTTTATTTCAATTCCTTTGGTGTGGTCTATTTCTGACCGTTGGTATCTTTTGGGGTTATTGTTTAGTCGAGGTACTTTCAGAAACGATTTACTTTCTACGCAGCTCATGTTGGGTATCATTTTTTGGTTATTACGTATTTTGTATTATCAAAATTTAGTTGGAGGATGATTTACTGTGCTTCTCTTATCAGAGTTGTAGTTGGTATCCTGTCTTTTTGATTACTTCCAAGGACAGCTATATCGACTGCATATCCTAGAATTTTATGATTCATTCCAACGTCCATCTCTGCATTTTAACGTGAGGTTCTTATCATCTTATCTCCAGTGCTAATTTCGTTGTTGATTCTCCAGTAAGAAGATAGGCGAGAATCCATCGACCTCCTGTAAACCATTTCGATGGTTTGAGTCAGGCTTCCCCTTGTATCAGATCTCGACAGTTTATCTGTACACGCTTTGGTCGATCTCACCGATTTCCCGAGAACTTCCAGCTCGGTCATGATCTTCCAAAGATATTTTCTATACTGTTTCTGTAGGCTGTTTTGAAATCGACAAATAAGGCGTGAACATCCCGTCGTTTTTCGTTTCGAGCATCTATATTAGAATAAACATCTAGTTTTGCGTGCTTTAGAGTAATGTGTCGCTCATTGTCTGCGCAATAGACCCCTTTTTATCAAATTATTAACATCCGCCTAAAACTGTGTGAATAATTCCATCTCATCGTAACCTACGACTATTTACGACAACTTTCGAAATTGGGACGTTATCGAGCTTGAAATTGGCAAACTTGTCTATTTAATTAGTTACTAAAAACTCGTAAATACTCATTTACTTTCCACTTGTTTTATAATTTGAAAAGATAAGGAAAAAAAAAGTTGGCCTACAAAAATATTCGGCCGTTTGGCCTGTATAATCTCGTTAATTTAAAATTTTGGGGGTGGAAGTCACACTAAAGGGCCCAATTTTTTTATACGCCACCGGTTTCCTCGATTTTATTCTCAAATTATTCAAACGATTCAAGTAGAAATCAAATGAATATTTAAGAGTTTTTAGTGCATAATTAAATAGACAAAATTTGCCGGATTGAATACGCCCCAATTTCGAGAATTTTCGTCTATAAAACAGTTGTAGGTTACGATGAAAAGAAGTTTTTTACGAAGCCACAGGCGGATGTTAATAATTAGATAAAAAGGGGTCTGTTCTGCCGACTATTAACAATTAAGCTATAAATATTTAGTGCGCTTGCGTCTGATAATAAGCATTTGTCATCGAAATAACCATCGCTTTACGAATTAATGTAAGCTATTGAAACATAGCAAAAAAAAAAATCATAATGATATACTAGAGAAGGCAGTCTGACGTCACATACAGGGAGACAGAAGCCCCACCATATGTTCCCTTAATGAATTTACTGCAAACAATTACCCAAATGGACTAGTTACGTCACTGGTCTATTGATCATTTATTTCTAAATTCATCGTATTGATGCCATAATTGAAGCAATATTTGTTTTTCAAACTATTTGTATTTACTAATTGGGGTACTTAATACCATTAAAGCCCATGTGAAAACATTTAACACGTTACAAAAAATAATGATAATTAGATTCAACAGAATGCCCTATGTTGCACTCAAATGTTTTCTTATATTTTTATTATTGTATGGTTTTTTTAACTTGCCAAGCTCCTCCTTATTGCACTTTAAACTCAAAAATATGTTTTCGAAATTCTTTTTAATTCATCGCGACTAATAAAAATGTGATTCACTGGAGAAAAATATATACCTTTGATGAACTTTGTGATATGCTTCGCTTGACGAACATGACATGAAGAAGTGTGGATATCGATGGCATGTTGTCCCGTCACTTCTTCCGTACTCCACGTCAATGATTCTCACTGTTTTATCTTCACCACAGTCTAGTTCAAGTACTTCATTTTCGCAAGCTGTTTTCCATTCGCCTAAAAATATATATATATATATAAAGCAATATAATCGATAGTATAATAACAACATTATGCTGTGTTAATAATTATTATGTTAAACTTTTGAGATATTATTCTTTTAGTGGCGTATAAGATGGACCAATCAAGTTCAAGTGTACATACTTTCCTGTACCTTGAAGAAAGATAATTCTTTCCATTGACCTAACATAACCTATTAAGGATAAATTCTTAAGCTGTAATTTTTAGCTAATAGATGTAATCAATATTTTTTTCAGAAATCCGTTGCAAATTACATACAGACCGGTCGTATGTAAGTGGTTGAGCTAATTGACCAATCAAATGCATTTGTACAACTTTTCTTCCATTAAAAAAAATAAAACAATTAAAATGAAGCATGTGTTACTTTTAATTTTTTTTTCTATGAATCAATCATACCTCTATATATCGAGCATTAAAATATTTTGAACACAGAAATAAAACATTCGAAATATTAATAAAACATTGTCTTTTCTCACTAGAAATAGAAAATATATTCATCTCTTTATGATTCTTCAGGTTAGGATTTCTTATTATATGGGAAGAAAGTGGCATCTATCAAAAGCTTATTCGATGTTTATTAGCAACTATATAAGACAGAAATGAATGATAAAAATAAATTAAACTTTCATCCTAGAAGATAAAATTGGGAAATACTGTATATTCAATTTAAAATCTCAATTTCAATTTAAATGAATTTTAGTTCAATTTAATGTTCTACAACTTCCTCATTAATTTTTTTCTCGTTGGAAGAAGGATCGAAGAGTTAGATAGTCACGTGAGAGGAAAACGGTAAGACTAATTTTTTTTTTCTTCAAAATTTGAAAATATCTCGAAAATGATGCAAGATAGTGTATAAATGAATACTTCATTTTTTTTTTAATATCTCGGTTCAGTTAATAAAATATGTTAACCTGATTTTATTATAATATACTATGTATTTTTCTTTTATTGGAGTGTAAGGAGGGGTGGATACATTAAACTTGCTATCTAATAGCTTTTTAATGCTTAATATTATAAAAGTTATTTACAATGTTACGTTACCTGGTCTTCCCCTGTTGGCTTCGGAATGATTCCTTCTGGTTTTAATAAAGAATTCGCCTTCATGGCAGAGAAATGAGACCGGGTCGTTTGAATCTAATAGTAAAACATAAATAATTAATTTTTTGTTCATTAATGATTGATAATTATTGCAAGAAGTAGTTTAATCTTCTTTCTAAAATTATCTTAAGTCTTTATCTACAGTTCATAGCTTAAAGAATATTCATCACAAATGTCGTATTCCAAATATTTCAATATCAAAATTGACACACGTCGCACATACACACAAATAGGCTTATGTCTGTGTGTATATGCATACACATTTGTGTTAAATTACTGAAATCCGTGTTTTAAATGTAATCAATTTGGAGTATAAAAGGAAGTAATGCTTAATTTATAAATTAGTTTAATTTTAAATATTATTGAAATTGTTTTACATCGCTAATATTGATTTTTATCAATATAATTACCATAACTCAAAATTTTGTTTTTGTTACTGTTTATGATTTCGTCTACAAGCAATTCATTTTATAAACTGTCAGTGTTATAATTTAATAGTGTTTTCCTAATAACAATGTGTTACTATATCCATATAAACTTGTTTCGTAATTTATTTTGTATCTAAATTATATAAAAACAAAATGCTTATCTTTCTAATTAAGCTAATTTACTAGTCTACCTACTTGGTTTTACTGCGTCTTCTGAAGCTGAGATAGATAGAATCGTAAGAGTCAATGTAAAGAAGCCCAGAAGAAACAACATTATTCTGTCTGACATTTAAACAGAATTGAAAGGGAATCGTTTCTTGTTATTGATCTTTATACATTTACATTTCATGACAGATGTGAAGCGACTATATTCAATATTTATTTATTGTTCTGTGTGTACAAGTGTGAAAAAGAACTAGTTCATTTTACAGTAGTTAAGATATTACTCTTGACAATTTGTAAATTTTCAGAAAATTAAACAAAGGGATGAAATGTAGTCTTAATAACCTACTGCAAATTAATTTGATTATCAAAATATTACCAATTTTTCGAAATAACTTCCCGTTTTAACTTAATCGATTCTTTTCTCAAACTAGAACTATTGCAAGTATCGGGTTTTTACATAATATTTTCAGCAATTAAAAATGCATTCGACAAAACTGTAGCGCAGATGTTTATGTAGTAATTTTATAATTACGACTCTGAGAGTTAATTATCGACAGCATGCCTACAACACTTCTTTCAAGTCATTCAATAAAAAAATTCTTTATCAAAATGAAAGGTTTCTGATTGAGGTATCATTCTTTTTTTGTAATATCGGCGTTGTCACTAATCAATGACTACTTATAATAAACATCAAGTTTTAATGGTATTTGTATGCTTCTTGTTAATGTATCGGTAAGGATTATCTAAAGATCTCCAACGTATTTCAGACAGAGTGAGAATGTCAATATTCATTCCGTCGGCCAGCCACAGAACAAATATTAATAATTTTGATTTGTTTATTTTACGTTTCTACATTTTTTATTTCTTCACCTCAACCTTGCCTGTAGGTCAAAATTAAAAAAATAAAACTTGATTTATCTAATTTGCATTACTACTTGTACTCTTCAGCATATAAAATTAAAATAATCAACAACAATAAAATCGTTTAAAATTAAAATAGTTTTAATATTTATTATCAGAATGAAACCCATAAGGCTTTTCTCTATCTCTCGCTTATCATATATAAAACATGAAATCTTAAAAATAAGTGTTTTAATTTAATTAAAATGCGAATGTATTGTAGACGACTTTTAAGTTAATAAGGATTGCTGATCCTAACAACTTGATTAAAACGTATTGAACATAGTCTCTATCTTTAGACAATTTTAAATAATTTCATTGATGGAATTTGTCAATGGATTGAATCTAACAGCGATAGGCAGCGATTCAAGCTTAGTTTAGAAATTAGCTGCGTTTTTCAAGCGTTTACTATCCTGAGATTTAAGAAAAACACAAGAAAAATTAATAATAGAATTGAGAATTAATAATGATAGAGCCCAGCGTTCAGTTTAGAAACTTGTTCTGGACATACAATTTCTACCATTGTGTCTAATAACGGCTGAAGTAGCTTATATCCTAAAATTCGAATTCTTGCCGCTAAAGAGAAATTTATTATTATTAATTCTTTTTTATTAAAATATAGTTTTTCTAATTCAATTCGACAGAAATGAAAGTCATATTTCGACATAAATGTTATACCTACTTCCATACCATATTCCAATATTAAATTTTAGTTTCATTCATGATTTTACACTTCTCTTACATTGTACCTCTATTTCTTAATCTAAAATGTATTGAAGTATTTTTAATATCACGGATTTTCTTAATAATTTATATCAACATTTTCTTACTAGAAACAATAATTTTAGAAAACCAGATTCTCGTTATGAAAGCAGTATTAAGAAAAAAAAGGAGTGAGGAATTGAAGTATTATACGACTGATTATGAAATATTAATAATAAAAACGAGAGTATTAGAACAAGTTCAGAAAATCTAATCTAAGTCGTGGCGTTGCTCTTTGGTAGTGAACTGAACGACTCCAAGCTGAATGTTCAGTGGTCAAAAGTATATTGAGAATTCAAAAACCGGAGTGCTTTAAAAAATGCTGATTAATGTCACTTGCTTCTAAAATTACTTTTACTCTCTGCACAGCTTCTAGTCTTGGTATTATATACTATGTCCATTGGAAGCAACAATACGATAGAGAAAAAATGAGGGAAGGTGTTATAAGAGATATCGAACAACAACAAATGAAGAAAACACAGAATTTATATTTAATTGAGCAACAAAAGACTTTAGCGTCCAAGTACAAAGAAACTGCAGGGTTTGTTGAATTATAACTTGTATAAAATTCAGTCAGGGATTGTGTTAGTGGGGTTAAACTATATATGTTTAACATACTTATGTTTGATTTGCAGATGAAAGGTGAAATTGGTCTTTTCAACAGGGAAGGTGTATAAATTTTAACCAGAATCATTTTATCGCCAAGTTACAGTAGTAGTTTTGTTTGTCTGTAATTTATAATATTTCATTATTTTAGTTTTATGTTGTATTGGCATAGAAAATTGGATTAATATTTACATTAAATAAGTGATATTTGTCAGATAGAGTCAATTAGTTTTTCTTGGATTTATTCTGAGTAATACGTATTTTCTGTAATGTTTTTCTATAGTTGAAATTTTTAAGTAATAATTGAAATAAAATTTATTTTAATTAATAATCAGAAATAATAGTGTATATATTTAACAACGGCTGTTTTTGAAACCTTAGAACTATCAGTAGTAATAATATAATTGATATATTATATCACTATATTATTAAATTAAAATGTGTTGTAATTGGTAATTACTTCAATGATAATGAAAAATGTAATACTTGCGAAGGGTCACTCCTGCCAAGTAAATAGATACCATATCGATTCGAACAGTCATGGAATGCCGAGTGTGCCTGAAGCCAGACAGAATACAATCTCCGGACTTTCCCTATAGATAAAAATTAAAAAAAAAAGAAGAAATTTAACTATCACTACAATGGGCTTATCATCATTTATATAGAATAGTTTAGGTTACATTACTTGCTTTTTAAGGATGAGTTAATTACAGTTACTATAGATTATTTAAAAGGATTTCTGCTTTAATAAGATTTATTTGAAAAGATTACTGCTTTAATAAGATTATTTGTTGGAATTCCGTTTGCTGGGTCTTTCAAGGCATAACCTAACCCCTGACAGGTCAGTTCCAGGTTGGGTCGGGCGGGGTGGTCGAACAGGGTAACGTGTGTTCACTGCACCATCATTGTCCGTCAACTTTATCTATGAGAGAATGGATTTGAAATAGTCTCGAGTTCGCGTCCCGGTGCCGGGGAAGTCTTTTAAATCCCCTCCTACACCCCCTGGTCCGGGAAAACTCCCTATAGCCTTCAAGGCGAGGAAAGGGATTAATCAAAAAAAAAAAAAAAAGTCGCTCCAGATCCTTTTCAATTGAGGTAGGGTTCTTTTCAAGCATGATAATCACTTGTCATATATCATTCGTTTGTCAGTGAAGATTGATCCTTTTGCAGATATATCCCTATTCCGTCTTGGGATCTGTCACCCTTTTGGGCATATTTGATTATTTTTGAAATTACATTCATAGTAAAGTATGATTTTGACCCACTTGCTATGCATGAGTGATTCTTCGGAAGAATTTCTCAAGAAATCCTCTTCCTAGTTCCAAATCCTTATGAGTATTTTAATGTAGAAATAATAATTTCTCTCTGACAGCATATTTTTATAGTTTTAAGTGAACTTCGCTAAAGTCCAAGTTACTCTTTGAAACAATATTCACCACAGTTCGAAGGGGTATGTTTTAGGGATGGGCTGTCTGCTTTTAAACTGATTCCAAGAGTTAGCTGTATAAAAAAGCCATCTCTTTACTGGGCAAAAAAGAGACACATTCTTACAAGTCAATATTTATTGATTGATTTGAATTGACCAACCAACGCTGAAAACTATAGTGTGAACCTTTATTGCAGCAGAGTTGACCAACATAATAGTGTATCAACAAAGGATTTATCGAGTCAGTCTTTTATTGTTTAAGTAATAAGCCATAGGTGATATGCAATCAAATTGAAACTTGACATGAAACATGAGAACCTCAGTTGAACTTCTACTTTCCTTTTGATTGTCATGCCACATGTGTTAGATGTTTATAAACAGATCTATTTGGAGTAAGCCTTGAGTAGAGAATGAAGAGCCTCTTTAATTTGAGAGGAGTTGCTCCCTCAGAAAATATTGGAAAATTACATGCATGAAAACCACATATTCTGTCATTTTTGACACTTTAAAAGTATTTGAGTACATGTAAGGTCTTAATAAAAAATTAAGCTTTTCTTTTGTAGGTTAGTTATATTTCATTCCATTTTTTAGATTATTTCTATTATATCTAAACTTGGTACACACTTAAAAAGTTGTTGATGGCTAAAAGGTAGAATTATCAGTTTTTGTTTAATAATAAAATTAGTTATTTTATTTTATATATTTATGTATAAATATAATCCTTTAGCCATCAACACTTTTATATGAATATATATATATATATATATATATATATATATATATATATATATATATATATGTATGTGTATGTGTATACACATACATACATACACATACATACATACATACACATACATACATCATAATACATACATACATACATACATACATACACATACATATATAAATGTACATATATATATTTTATCGAAATTAAATTAAATTTAGCTATCAAATAGAATTATCTATATTTGCTGTTTGTTCCCTGTTAAACTTATTTGGTTCTCAGGTCAATAGGATTGGCTTATATATTATTATATTATTTTATATATTGGCTTTAATACACACAATTTTCTCTTTTGTTTCTTAGTGACGTTATAGTTTAGAATAATGTAGTTCTAAAGGTGAAATGGTGAAAATTAGCTGTGCAATAGTTGTTCATTTGATTTATTCTTTAGCTAAATGAACATAAATACATACATGCATGTATGGAACAAAACCTCTCCAGTGAATCTGATCCTCCATAAGCATTGTCCATAAGATATTTCTATCTTGATCAGCAGCGGTCTAGTTTTGGGTATCTAGCCAGACCTACTAAAATCCACATAGATTGTCCTTTCTAAACATCTTTATATTGATCATATATTTCCTGTTTTTTTTTTTTTATTTCCCTTAGATATCTCGCTCTTATACTTCTTCTTTGAAAATAGTTTTTAGCAATCGTTTCTCTAATATCTGGAATCTGTTTTTCTTGGACTTGATTGCATATGCATCTGTCGTGTATGTGAGCATGGTGCATAAAAGAGTTTTGTAGAGGTTGGTTTTGTTACTGGAAATATGGCTCAAAGTACTTTGTAATTCTATAAAAACATGTATGGGATATGTAGATTAAATATAAATAAATAAAATAATACCTAAAAGTTTTTTAGTTTAGTAGTAATAAAAAAGGTAATTTTTTTTTTCATGTCAATGGGAAACATTAGTATTTTTTTATACTTATATATGTTTCCTTCATTATTAAAATAATTTCTTCAACTCTCATGCTTTATCAAATAGTGCAAAAAACCTGGTGGCTAATTTCTGGAGGTTTGTTTTTTGATCCATGACTAGTTCAAATCAACTATTTATTTAATTTATTGCTCACTCATTTTTCATTTTTATTCAAAATAAAACAATAAAACAAAATAATTTGTTTTTTATGTTTTATATAAATTTGAAGAAATAATAATACCATTTTATATTTAAGTTGCTTCAGAGTATAGAAAAAATAATTTTACAGATTCTCAATGAGTAGATGATTTTGTGTTATGAGAAAATGAAATGAATTTGATATTTTAATGGGGGCAATATTAATGGGTACTTACAATTTATCTAAAAATAAATTTAACATATCTTTTGGGTAGTAAGTTGGTTGTGTGTGTGTGTGCGATAAAGAGTAAATACCCATAAATTGTATAACTTGATCTTTTAATTTGTGCTGTGGTTTCAGCTTAAGTTTTAGCATTAATTAAACTCAAAATCAAGTTTTTTAAAATTTGTTTACAGTTCAGGATTTTTTAAAAAAAAAAATCCTGAACTAAAAAAAAAACAGTCTACAATTATCTAATAATTTGTTTATATTTGTTAATAAAAATATTTAAAAGAAAACTGATGTCAATTTATGGACGTTCACACTGATGAACACCTAAAACTTGGGTCAAAACATTGGCACCCTTTAAAACAAATTTTAAACTTGTGTGGAATCCTTGAGGGCAAGGAAGGCATGTACTTCAGATTTAAATCTTCGAACAATGTCAATGTCATCTACATATCTCATAATTTGTATTGCATCATAATTAAAGATTGTTCCACCAGTCTAGACCATTGATTTTCTGGTAGTTTTTTCCAAACCTATAGAGAGTAGACAGGCAAGGAAATCTGCTCAAACACCATTATTAGAGATGAATTCATCATGAAGATCTTGAACTCCCTCCATACACTCAATAGTAGGTTTTACCCACGAGATGAGCTTAGTATGCATATAAATGTATTTCCTAGTGTGATTCAGAGGCTTACGTTCTGTATTAATATTATTGTAAGTGGATCTAAAATCAACTGTTAAATGGTGCGTTTGGATCTGGTATTCTTTTCCTCACTATAGAATGGTTCGTAAAGTGTGAGTTGTGGACTTGCCTTTTCAAGAGTCACATTGATATATCCCCACGAAGCTCTCAACATAAGTTACAGTGTATTTGAGTAAATATTACAGGTGCGTGTTAGAAGGGAGATGTCTTGACAGGTATTACACTTAAGGTTTCCTTTCTTTTGAATAAGACATATTCCAAGCTGTTTGAATAATTTCCTCAGTCCAAATCACAATAACAAGATTATGTAATATTTAGAAAAGATGATGTCCTCCTTCCTTGAATAGTTTGGTAGAGTTTGTCAAAGCCGGTTGACTTGTTATTTTTTGAACTTGTGATTGTTTTTGCGTAATTTCTCTTTGTCTGGGTCTCAAGTTCATTTCCAGAAGTTTGAATGAGTTCAGTTTCTTCTTGTTGAGCTCCATGTGTCAATGAATTTATTTTTCTTCTCTTCTGTGCTCCTAATAGATATGAGCTGATGCCCGAGTATATTTCTTCATATATCTTAAACATTGATTTGTATAATTCATTCTTCTCCTTGCCAAATCTTGCCAACCTACTCTCTATCTGACTAGGACTAATTAGTTCCTTTATTGTGTCCTTGACAGTTTTTCAATGATCGACCACATGCTATTTACATATATTTTATCTTGTTTGAAATTGAAAAAATAAATACGCTTCACAATTTTATTATTTACATAGCTTGAATTTTTCTTTTTTAAACAATGGTAGATTTTGTTTTAAATAAAAGGAGTTGTTATTTTAAACTAGATTATTTAAGCCTCAGCACGTTAGGTGTTCATAGGAAGGCATATTGTTGAATGTATGTATGTACTAAATACATAACGTCAAAGATCCAACTTTTTTTTTCAAGGGTTGTTTTGGATTATAAAATGGACCTAATCAACAAGTTTCTGATTGACAAGAATCCACTATACCTCCTAAGGTGAAGAAAATAAGCTCTATAATTTATT